AACTCATCGATTTATGCCTAACGACGTATTTTCAATTCAACAACAAAATCTACGAACAAACGAAAGGGACACCAATGGGGTCACCAATATCAGGAGTGATCGCAGAAGCAGTGATGCAAAGACTAGAAGCCGCAATACTACCTGTGATCAAACCAAAAATCTGGATTCGCTATGTAGACGACACATTCGTCATCGTCAAAAAGAATGAGTTAGAAAACACTTACAAACTGATCAACAACGTCTTCGATGACATCAAGTTCACAATGGAACAGGAGACAAACAACAAACTACCATTCTTGGATATATTAATCACTAGAACTAATACAGGAAAACTAGAAACTCAAGTATATAGGAAACCGACCCACACAGATCAAATTCTTAATTACAATAGCAACAACCCAAGAGCACATAAAATCAACTGCGTACAAACTTTGTTCAAGAGGGCGAGGACACACTGCAGCACACTGGCAGCACGAAGAAAGGAAGAGAAATACCTGAAGGACGTATTTCAAAAGAATGGCTACCCAATCAACTTCATCAAAAAATACCAACCACATGCAGCATCAGAACACAAATCAAGCACAGAAATTGACAAACGGATCACACTACCATACATAAATGGCATATCAGAGACCGCAACAAGACTGCTAAAAACCTTCGGAATAGGTGTGGCACACAAACCGACAAAATCACTACAGTCAATTCTATGCAAACCAAAGGATAAAATAACAAAAGAAGATAAATCAAACATCATCTACAAAATAAATTGTGTCAACTGCGACAAACACTACATCGGACAAAGCGGACGCCCCCTTCACCTGCGCCTACATGAACATCAATTAGCAGTCAAACGGCATGATATCTCCTCACTTATATCAATACACGTGGACAACTGTGGACACACATTCGATTGGAAAAATGTGGAAATCTTGGACAGAGGAAACTCTAAAAACACAAGAGAATTCTTAGAAGCTTGGCACTCAGGTCAATCAGCAATCAACAAACATATTGAAATTGATCCGATTTATCAACCAATCAGGAAACTTATGCACGAATATAGGAACAAGAATCAAACCAATAGGGGACAAAATAAAAACAAAAAAGTAAACAATGACAAATTTAAGGTCAATAAGAACCAATCAACATCGAGGTGCACAGAACAAGCTGTGAAACACATATGGAGAAATTCGAACACTTCACTTCTATCTGAAGTTTGTGCTGATGATGTCGTTCAGAAGAACGATGAAAGCTCCACGACCAAACCATCCAGCTCAGAGAACAAAACTCCATCAAAATATCTTGTACTTTATTCAGTGTTCACCAAACTATTTTAATTTAAATCCTTCACAGTTTAATCACATCATACCATACACATTACCGTATACAAGTTATTTATTTTGTTGAACTGTCATATTGATGTGTATGTGAGATTGAAACTTTAGCATATGACTTTGTGTTATGCTTAGAAATATAACTCACAAAATTTACTTTAACATACCTCTTTTACTGTTAGTTATTTCTTTTTAAGTTAAACTGACAATCATGTAATGTTTTTAGTTTATACTTGATTGGAAGTATTCTGAATGGAAGTTTATTCGTTCAGCATGAAATCGATCGGTACATATTCATACCATATAATTATTTTTTCATTATATATGTCTATGTATATGATTGTAACAGGAGCAGAATAGTAGAATAATGATATTATTTAATTAGTATGGATCTGCTATCAATTGAATGTTCTTTGGAATTCGTCTCAGCTATGCAATTTAAACCTCAATAATTCCAACCATATAGAGATTTATAGTTTCTGACATAAGGGTGTTGAAATAACTTGACTGTATAATCTAATATCAAAAGTGATGCAATGTAAAAGTACTTGGTGCTATATCGATTCTTCAATGCACAAATCTTGCGAAGTCAATTTGTTACACAAACTCCACCGACCACTCAATTACGTCCAAGTTCATCCTGTCATTTACAGAATAAATTCTGTCATAACTGGTCCCAATAATTATAAGATTGAGCAATTCTTGTAGAACACAAGAACTTCGGGAATGTCATACTGAACAAAAGTCAAGTAGACCAAAAAGCCACAATGGATTAATCGGTACAAATCACTTTTATACTGAGTAACAATCACAGTGAGTTGCTACGAAAATCCATTGAATGAAAATCACATTTTCAAATTAATGGCTAGTCTTACCTCATTGTCCATTCTTAACAATAGTGTTCACTACAACAAGATAGACATTGATGATATTGTTGTGAGTGTCAATGAGAAGTGTAAGATTGCGTTTTCTCGTTCAGACTATACAGAATCATCGAAAATATTCATTAGAGCTGCAAATCGATATCATCACACAGAACTCTCGGATCCCCAGAATCTTAACACACTTCTAGTCGAAATCACCATTTGACAGACTTGTAATCTCTTGAAGTTTTGTTAGGGTGCTCAAAAAGCAACGAATACATCATTATCAGCTGTAAATTAATAAACTCAAACACAGACGCATTTATTGGGACTATCAATAATGCAAGAAACAAACAGACAGCAAATCTTGCTTTTTCTATGTTGAACACTATAGTAATAATTCTGTCACATCAAGACACGTCCAACCGATATGTTTATCCAGTACATAATTAACATATTTGGAAGATTAAATTAAGACCACGTAATCGGAAGACGATGTTTGCATAATGTTCTCTGTAGATAACATATCATGCACTTAGCACGTGCTACAAATAAAACACCAGTCACTAGACAAATTAAATGCAGAAAGGTGTACATGAAAATTAAAAACGGCCATCCTAATAAATGTATTTGGGAAACATATCCACACTACCAAATATCATGAACAGCATCAAAATGCTAGAAAGTATACAAAAGTCACGCAAGCACTTGTGTACTTTCACTGCTTTTCAGAACATTATGATTCCTTTCTTCGCTCGTCATTGTTATCTTACTACACATTTTCGCAAAAATTTATTCCCGATAAAGTACGCATCTTAAGTAATTGAGATAGTAGGAATCCCGAAATAGAATGGCACTGCAACAACACCAAACAAGGTTTGGTAGGTTACACTGAATGAATATCATACTGAATTAATGCAAACGAATGTTTGACTAACTAAACATCACACTGGATGCAACTATGATCTCACATGAAAACGTGAGTTTAACAGTTTTGTAATGTTCAAAATAAAATCAACTAACAACAATAAGTGAGAAAATTATTTACTAGAGGAAATGCAAACAGAATGCATTATTTTACTAAGGTATAGTCCGATTCCATGCTAAAATAATAGTCTCTGATCACTGATTGGAAGTATTCATATAGGATTCAGTCAGTCATCTTCACAGATTCCAAGAACAATGCCGACTAGTTAAGAAAACGTATTTGTCAAAAGAATATAGCTTACCGAAATTGTGTGATTATTGCTAGTCAGATTGACCCAGACATCATAGATATTGGTGCATACATTATTTGTGTGAGCTATTCACTCATTGATTATACTTTAAACATTCTCTCAACTTTACCTACTGCAAATCTTTGAGTTGCCAAATTCCGTTTGAATTATTTGGTGCTTTTAAAATGATCTGTCACTGAACACTAACATACTGGCTAGTTCATTCGTTGTCTCTTATTTGAACTATTGTCGATGTTATCAACATAACTGAATGATTGTTGAAATTCTCTCCACCACTTTTAATCTAGTTACAGTTTTAATGGTCGTAATCTTGACAGTGAACAACAGTTCAGTCTAGAATAAGCATTCTATTCAGAGTGAAACTCATCGAATTGCATCAATATGTCAATTTGTGGAATCCGAAACACAATCTCAGCACATATCGCTCAGAACGTCAGAATGTTATGCAATGAAATTTCCAACCTCGACAGACATTACTGCTTTAACGAGTACTGGTTACCATAAATATCCGAATTCGACAGTTACAAACAGGAAGTAGGCTGCATGAAAATGAATTGTATTGACATTTCGGATATGATATGATATGATAAATCAGTGTGAACATCTCATCACTACAAGAGATCTTAATAAAGGTATGAGCGAATCAGTTCGTAGTTATAATATTTATCTGTACAGATGGATTGTAGAGATAACTGATTGCTTTTAAGACAGTGATTCGCCATGAATTAGACAACCATTGCTGAGTTACAATATTATTATCCATGTAGAGTAGGATTTCAAGACAATAATGTGAACAATAACCGATGGATTAGCCAGTGAGTGGTTTATATATAGATGGTGAATTGATGTATCGAGCGTGTTAACATCCATGGTTTTGATACCAGTGTAAAATTTTCGGTACGAGAAGAATAGTGTAGTGATGCACATTCGAATATCATAGGGGGAATCCATCCACTCAAGAGTTCAGGTGCGACTTGTCGATAAGTGTCAACTGATATCGGAACTAGATCAATCGATTCCTGTCGACTAACGTAAACCACCTGACAACTCAAAATGATAAACGTGCTGTTCAGTCAATTAAACCAGTGACCACATTACAACTTGAGTGACAGAACTGTATCTGTACTAAATGGTGAGACGAATATGACATTGTTCACTAATCTGTAACCAATCATTTGTACAATTCGAAACACTGTAGGACTTTGATGACTGTTACAATGTATTTTTTTTAGCATTCTAGATACATTTCTACCATAACGACAAACATTTTCTAAAAGATATATCGATGGTTGGATTACAGTGATTAAACTGAGAACACAATCATGTTAAATGATAGAAAAAGTACTTGGTATGAAAAGGGATTATCTGGATAGTCATTCAATGAACAATGTGTGCAGTGAATGTGCATTAATATGATAGGTGCGAAGGAGTTCAGAAATATTAACTATATGATATACAATATTTTCGATGGAATAATTGTATTGTCTGCATGGATCACTGAATGATTACACCTGAATATAATTGGAACGACTACTAAACTAAATGTTTATTACTTTGATGTTAAATAGGTCATTCACAAGAATGTATTGAAAGGTATTTAATCAATTTGAGTGATATATTTTTAATACGTATTTTTTTATAGTGAAATAATACGAAGAAATACAATTCAACAACATTCAGCATTGTTTAAACTTGGTCCAGACATTGAATACATTTCTGGTGATATGATGTTACCACAACAAATCAATGTCAGCAATGAAGCTAGAAAGTTATATCAAGAATATGAATCTGAAAATAAATTATCGATTGCTATAAAGCTTAAAGAATTTCTAGATAAAGTATTTGGTAGGTCATGGCATGTTACGATAGTGTATGGTTCCTTTGCCAGTTCATATACACAAGAACTTAATACTTCATTTCAATTTAAAATGAACAACCTTTATTATCTTATATGGAAAACACCAGAGTACAGAAATGAATAATTGATAAAATGATTTCAGTAATAAATGTATTCAAGCAGTAAAGACGTGTTTTAAAAAAGTCAAAGCGAATTTGGGAATTTCTTCGTTGAGTACATCCATTATTACACGAGTAACTAAGTGAGAAGAATAGTTCATATTCAGAGTTACACACGAAGAAACCGTTAAGAGTGGTGAGCACGACGTAGATGTCAGTAAAACAATGAGTCACTAACACTTGTTTCAGTAATGGATTACAAAAGAGTATTTCATTGAAGGAAATGAATGGAAATCGACGTAAATATTTAACCAGTGAAAGTTCTGAAATAAAAGCTGGAGAAATAAAAGAGTCAAAGACACGACACTACTATAGAAGGAAACATCATGGTATGTTTAAGTAGTTGAATGAAGGCCATTGACAATGACAACGGAAATCAATTGAGTTTGATCATTTAATGGCATTAGAAGTGATGGGTTCGATGAAATCAGTGAATTTCAATAGAATATATTCCGACGTAATGAGCAAAGATGAGTGAGATTGCATGTGAAGTGAAAATGAGAAGAGAGGACATGAGAAAAACGCATCTCTTTAATACTGATATATATATTTAAAATTATATGTTTTACAGTACGTGGTAATGGTCAACTACATATCATGGAATAGATAGATTTGACAACTGTGCATTGTTATTCAATTGTTTGTGAGAGCAGATGCTATCTCATGAGTCAGGAAATGTCTTCAATAACCAGTTTATCCATCCTGCTTCACAATAGCTGATGAACCCATATGTACGTCTCAAAGTAATAGGTCGAAGTGAATTCTGTAGTATTTCGATGAAGTACAACAATGCACTAAAACATCGCTCACTACATCTCCCGATGTAATGTCCTAGTTTGTTCATTCATGAATTTTGAACAACCCGTGAATACCCTTCATTTCTCTGCTCATAAACATTAGAGTGTAGTGCTCGTCAATCGAATTGACTCTAATCACGAGAAACTCAACTTCCACTGATAAAGAGAACCCGTATTATCCAAAAGATAACTAAATAGTATTCAGTGTGTTATGGATTTCTGGTGAAGTGTAGAGTCGAGAAGTTACACATCCGGTCACTTTCAAGTTTCCGTAGAACTCCTATGTGATTATCGAGAAAGATTTCATTCAGCTTTGTTGCTAACTAACACATTATTTTAATTTAGCTGTGTGAGTGATGTCTACATCATGTGTGCTAGTAATCGAAGGTAAATTAATTTAGATTGAACAAAGTCAGTCATTACTGAATTCAATCGATGGATCATCAATCTTTTTAGAAAAACCAGAACAATTTACAATCCCTAATTATATCGAATAATTAACTAAACATAAAACCTACCAAAACTCACCTGATATTTTTATCAACACTTCAGTTTAATTGGAACAAAGAAACCGAAGTTTCAATATTGGCTAAATAAATTGAAATCAGCAACATCTGGAATCTATATCATGTGTGTAAACACCACTACACTCAGATATATGTTGATTAATATCCACATGTTATCTTCTCAATAATTCGGTACCGATCAACACACAGACTTCAAAGAAGCACGAGTAGTTACCCTCTTCTAAATTATAACGTCATTTGACCATGATAAATGATCACAAATATGTGAGTTGTAGCTTAAATTATTGTTTTCAGCATGCACTCAAAAAGCCTACTTTTTCAGCTTACAATAACATATACAGGTGTTTTGATTTAGGGAAAACTAGTGAACAACTGAAATTCTCTGAGAACCACTTTCCTAATTAAGAGTGATCATGAATACATCGTGACATTTATGAGAATCAGTGCATGTATGCTCAAATAACACATGTTCTAACGGGAAAGGTTTTGATACGGTTTCTGATGTAAGCATTCCCCTAACAGATCTGAAAGTTTTTCTTAAACAGTGTTTTGTAAGTGATAGTTGGTGAGAATCTACTCGAATTTGTACTTGGTCAAGGTTAAATGTTCAGTATTATTTCTAGGAGCACAGTTCTCATTATTCCCTATGTGTATTTGATCGCTTTATTCGAAAGCGACTGCTGAACGATCTGTCAAAATCCACTGATGCAGAATACAACTGATCTGATTCGATTGCTTATGTTGCGCTTGAAGAAGTGGACGCAAACGATTACCAGTTGTTTTTAGTAATATTTTTGTGTTGATGGACATTGACGTGATCCTGAACTGATGATGCTCACTGTTATGAATTTATTAGAGACTAATGATTTGTTTTTGTAGTGCGACTCTTTCACTATCACTCCAAAGGAAATCAATATATGGTAAAATCCACATTGGGAAGACTGATTTCTCACTGTTTATTTGAATATCTTCAATTTCGTTAATTGCCAATTCACATTCATTGGGAAAACGTTTTGTAAATCTCAAAATATGAATTATTAATGTAGACGAATGTATAGAAATTCTAATAATTAATAAATCACTGGATAAGGTATTCATAGTGCTCAAGTGGGAATTTGGTCAATTTAGTGAACTCCATATGGTTGGCTAATCGGTCCAAACATAAGTGAGAGATAATGACAGAGATAGGATTTGTGTCACGATCCCGTTTAACGAAACATATCTACATTTATGAACGAGCTGTGAATATGTCTTCCACCCGGTTACACAATGGAAGCTTCCTATTCACTCCTGTTTTTCTCACCCAAGTTAGCTAATTTGAGTGCGCATACAGAAACAGCATATATGAGTAGCAGAATCTGACGAACTTAGATTATACCAGAACCAAAAGTAATTTATTGTTAATAGTAAGCAAACTGAATATACACTTTACTTTCAGGAATTATGACAACAGTGTCTCATTCCTTACTAATGTTATAACTGTGTGAAGTAAAATTAAAACCTAATTAAATCCAAAAAATGTTCTCCAAACAACAAAACTGTAATTATTCAAACGAAATTGAAATGCACAATCTTCAAGATGCAAAAATGTAGTTGAATATGAACCTTTGACAATTAGCACAACCCAAGATGAAGAGAAATTTTTATCCATAAACTGTTTCATACATTCTGTTAATTTTATTCCATTGAAATCACCTTTATCTGTGATTAGTTTTCTAAACTCATTTGTAATTTCTAATTTCATATCCATTGGCATCTGATCAACGATCACCTGTATATCATTTCCAAGTACCCTTTGATTATCAGTGTAGGATGATAATGAATTTTCGGCTGACTTTAGTTGTGTACTTCTTTGCTGACGACTAAAACAAATGAGAGGAAAACAATTTTGCTAGGAACGAAGTAGTTCAACATGTAGTACAACATAACTAGTCAAACAATGGACGAATATTGCGAATGATTTGTTCCGAACATAGAACGTGCAATAGTAGGCACTATGCAACTATAATTGATGGAGATGAAATAAATTGCGTTTCCTAAAAACCACTTTGGCTAACCCCAATTGCACAACGGTGGTACGTAAAAGTCCATTATGAAATTTATCTGGAAGATTCCATTTCATGCATTCATGTAACGGCAAATAACATTGCGGGCGTATGAAAACAGTTTGTACCGTATTGCTTATTGCATTTTGTATCACAGCTTATATAGTTCAGACAGACAAGGTCGATATAGACAAGCTGACACAAACGAGTACACATATTTTACAAATGTAAATGAGTGAAAGAACACGATGAATTATTTATAAATACAAACAATATAACAAGTAATATTACAACGACCTATGCTTAAGTCACATAAGTGTTCAACTCAGTGTTATTCAAAATAAGGTCTTGAATCGATATATATTATTGTCAGTCGGTAACATGGTTGTGAATCTGAATACATGATCGTTATGATCCAACAACATATGGGGTTGTTGCACTTCTAATTTGTTTGTTAACCCAATTCATATTTGGAACTATGTTATTCTGAGTAAAAGACGTAGGTGAATAATTTGTCGAGGTAAATGTTGGATGGTCGGTTTGAGATTCGTGAAACTGTGAAAACACCTAAATCCTAACTGACTTGTTCACCCCCTTGCTCAGATGACTGAATCTGGAAAGAGATGATTACATGTACACAATATTAGGCGTAGATTTAACTTAGTCAGAAGAATAGACAGTATTAATCTGAGCACAAAGTAAATAATCTCTTTTAAAATGAGATTATGATATTTTAAATTTCCAATGGGAAAAGTTATTAATTTGAGATGTATTCCTATATAGAGAGCTAGATTATGAAGCTTTGATTATCGTCGTAGGGAGCATAATTGTCGTTTCCCAATAGAAGTACAATTTTGACTAATGCAACATTAACTGAAAATATTCACGTGAATTGCGTATATTCACCATAATCCTTCGAACACGATTTGTATAAATAGATAATATGTGAATATTTTTCAATATGAGATACAAAAATAATAAAAACTGGTTAATGACTTACACATCTCCAATATTTAATTGTAGATGTTCACAAATATCTTCTAGACTGAGACGATTAGTCTTTTTTAATTGAAATAAGTTCATCCACTTCTAGTGGGAAATAATAGAATTCAATAAACATTAGTAGTCTATGAAAACGCTCAATGTTTGTTCATTTTTACAGTCATAGTTATGAACTAAAAACCAATAGGACTGAATGATTAATTCTTGTACTGTTCAACTAGCTGTTCAGGTATTCAACTCTTTTCAAAATAATACATGGTTTATGAGTAGTTGCAAGCATTCATACATTTATAATGATTCATTTCAACTAACCTGAATTAGATCATCATCTCGACGATTAGTTTCAATATATTTCTTTAGTTGACTCTTTGTAATTTCTTCATCGCAGTCTTTGTCGACTGCGAAGAATATTTCTAGAAACGCTTTCAATGTTGGTTTTGTGCTCTCTTGATCATCAAATTTTACAACCATGTTGAAGAATAGTGACTGTGATAGTGTGGATTATACACATAGATTATAATTGATAGTTACTCACTTGATTTAATGTATATATATATATACATAAACAGATATATACACGTAATTATCAAAAGTTTAATCTCTAAACATATCATGACTAGAATTGTAGAATGTAATTTAACGTTAAACAATAATTGTCACACTAGAAATAATCAGTTAATTTTGACAGCTTGGTATTTGAAAATATATCATTCAAATTGATTAAATACCTTTCAATACATTCTTGTGAATGACCTATTTAACATCAAAGTAATAAACATTTAGTTTAGTAGTCGTTCCAATTATATTCAGGTGTAATCATTCAGTGATCCATGCAGACAATACAATTATTCCATCGAAAATATTGTATATCATATAGTTAATATTTCTGAACTCCTTCGCACCTATCATATTAATGCACATTCACTGCACACATTGTTCATTGAATGACTATCCAGATAATCCCTTTTCATACCAAGTACTTTTTCTATCATTTAACATGATTGTGTTCTCAGTTTAATCACTGTAATCCAACCATCGATATATCTTTTAGAAAATGTTTGTCGTTATGGTAGAAATGTATCTAGAATGCTAAACAAAATACATTGTAACAGTCATCAAAGTCCTACAGTGTTTCGAATTGTACAAATGATTGGTTACAGATTAGTGAACAATGTCATATTCGTCTCACCATTTAGTACAGATACAGTTCTGTCACTCAAGTTGTAATGTGGTCACTGGTTTAATTGACTGAACAGCACGTTTATCATTTTGAGTTGTCAGGTAGTTTACGTTAGTCGACAGGAATCGATTGATCTAGTTCCGATATCAGTTGACACTTATCGACAAGTCTCACCTGAACTCTTGAGTGGATGGGTTCCCCCTATGATATTCGAATGTGCATCACTACTCTACTTTTTCTATCATTTAACATGATTGTGTTCTCAGTTTAATCACTGTAATCCAACCATCGATATATCTTTTAGAAAATGTTTGTCGTTATGTTAGAAATGTAGCTCCTCTTCACTTGCTTGTTTACTTCTGTGTATTCAGCTTGTGCCTTGGCTTTTTCTGCTCTTGTTCGACTGGTATTGATTGCTGTCTTCTTGTTCCTCCTTTCTTGAATCTTATCCAGTGTATCATCAGTGATCCAATCCTTGTGATGGTGCTTCTTTTGGCCTAGAACCCCATGACATGTTGAAGTGATTGCCTCTTTTTTCTCTTTCCAGTCGCTCTCCATAATAGTTCCTTCTCCATTGAGTAAATCAAGAGAGGCGTGGAACTTATTGCTGAGGGCTGTCTTGAATTTGTTGAGTTTGTCAGTATCCCGAAGAAAAGCCGCATTAAACTTTTGTGATATTGTCCGCTCCATTGTCCAGTGCTTCTTGAGTTTCAATTTCATCTTGGCGACCAGTAAGTGATGATCTGATACTATATTAGCTCCCCTCTTGGTTCTCACGTCCTCCTGAACTTTTTGTTGATGCAGATATGGTCGATTTGGTTTTGCGTAGTGTGATCCGGTGAAGTTCATGTGGTTTTGTGGATGCGTTTATGTGGGAATATAGTGCCGCCTATGACCAGTTTATTAAAGGCACATAGGTTTGCGAGTCTCTCCCATTTTCGTTCCTTTCTCCCTGTCCGTGTCATCCCATGATCTCTTCATATCCGGTGTTGTCAATTCCAACCTTGGCATTTAAATCTCCCATCAGAATGGTCGAGTCCTTTGTTAGGCATTTCTTGATGATTGACTGCAGCCTATCGTAGAATTGATCTTTATTGTAGTCGTCGGTAGGCATATAGCATTGGATGACGTTCATTGTAATGCCCTCTTTCTTTGTTTTGAAGGAGGCTTTGATGATCCTTGGTCCATGAGATTCCCATCCTATAAGTGCATTTTGTGCTTGTTTGGACAGCATCAATGCAACTCCTTGTGTATGTGGTGCATTTTCTTCATCATGTCTGGAGTTTAACAGAAGCTCCACTGAAGCTAGTCGTTGTTGTCCAACTTGCGTCCAATGTGTTTAGCTGATCCTAAGAACCGCCAGGTTGTATCTCCCCATTTCTGCAGCAATTTGGAAGATTCTCCCGGTCTCCCACATTGTACGAGCATTCTATGTACCTAAATAAATGGTTTTTCCGGTTGTCAGAAGGGGCATCGGCCTCGTGACTTCCGAAGGAAATCGGCTTTCACCATGAGGTGTCGTAACTCTTTTAGATGAAGACATTTTTGAGCAAGGCTGTTTTCTACGGGATGGGGCTATTGACCCCATGACCAACCTTCACTCACTACCCGGACATGGAACTAACAGTAACCCTAGAAGAGGTACAGGCAAAATCAAATTAGGTGGAATGATTCTTGTAAAAAAATAAAATTTAAACGATCGTTAAATATGAAGAATAATGTTGAAGTTCAAATTGCAGTGGTTTTCATATTGAACTAATCTTTGATGGAAATCATTCATGGAGTGATTGCAGCCACACAAAACTACCAATCGTAAAATCTGGATTTCATAAACAAAACAAGTATTAAATGTTATTTACTAGTTAATATTTTTATAAACTTTCATCGAATGAAATGCTGAAGGAATTCACCATATACCATGTAACCCGAGCTTATCAATAACATTCTGGATAGGTTGGGAATTTAGGCTTAATTATTTAGGTAGATGTACGAATTTTGGTTGAAGTTGAAGAGAAATAATTGTAGTTTCACTTTAGTGATTTTATTCGATGAACCCCAATGATCTATCTACAGTTCCTCAACTAATTTCTATTTAAATTAATGTGCCTTCTCGACCAACTCATTCCATCATGTACTCTTGTTCTTCTCTCATATGCTTACAATAACTTTAAGATTTGTCTTTTCGTAAAGTAAACGATTTTGTAATTATTATTCCCTGTAGGGAAATCGTTACTCATAATGTTTAAATTTTTTGCATAGACATTGAAACTTTTATCTTCAGAAAATATTCCCTTAAAAGTATGTCTAAAACTTTGACGTCACCATATTTTAATACGAAAAGGCTGTAAGGTATGAATATTGAGTGCATCAGTTTCCATTAAATAGCATTTTGATCTTGTTTGTAGCACGATCAACCGTATTCTAATTTACATCATTGACTTACATGATTCAATATCAGGATTAAACATCAATAATGTTAACCATCGTTTGGGGATGACCAACATATTGACGTAACAGTAGCAAGTAAAAATACATACACAAACTCACAATGTCATCCAGAAAGACAGTGGAAGCTTCATTAATTAAACTATGAAGCTCAGAAAAACACAACGCATGCATCCTCCTGAGCTACACATTGTCATCATCGACTATATATTTTATCGGTGTGCTCCAGAAAAAAAGCATAAGGATAGTCGAGAAAGACCTCCAATTGTACGAATACTTAATGATATTTTAGTTGTCGTAATTAAACAAGACCAAATAAACTTCACTGATGTTTAGAAAACTTAAATATTTAACATGTACCGATTTGCTACTCGTTAGTAGTTCGTTTAAAATAGTGGAGGAAGTATGAATTGGAAAGAGGTGAAACTTCGTAAACTATGTAATCCATGCTAACTTTTCTGGTATACTTTACCCTAACTATATTACCTTGAGATGAAATGAATGCCTCCCACATCATGACTAAATAATGACATCGTGCTGATAAATCAGGAACCGGGGGGTGTTTGAAAGTGACATAATATAATTAGGATTTCAACCGGAGTATTGAGATTGATTAATCAACTCTGTTCAGGCTCGTAATTTATGAAGAACGGACTTGTTCTAGTTTCTCTGCTAGTCAGCGTGCAACCTTGTGATACGGTGAAGTGATGATTGATTGGATAAGTCTAAGATGAGTGTAATATTTGTGAACCTTTAGTAAACCATATATATGAGGCAAACGTGAGCGGCGAGGTCAAACTTACAATAATAGCTGAAAAAACTGGACGATGAAACACTTTTGAGAGCAAACTGCTACACACAGAAACTTATTGACAGATGTAAAAAAATCTAAAGAAAACAAGACGGGTAGGACTATAGTCAATAAAAAACCAATATTTATAGATCTCAACTTAAAAGTTGAAAACGTCGCTACTACAATAAGCAAGAGGCTTTACACCGTATTAGCCAAAACTTGCCTGGGAGCCGAGCTGTATTTGGTATAAAACAGCAGGTTCAATAAACCAATCAAGGGTCGATAAGCATCCCTTTCATGTTATCGCCAACTGTGTACCTGTCAAAGCACGTATGTTGGCAGAACAGGAGGTAGGGCACATCTTAGATTTTTCGAACATGATCGAAAAAACATTAGAACAAGTGAAAGAACGACTTTAAGCAGTGTAATTAATAAACATGCTTGGATACACGACATCAAGTCGACATCTTGTAATCCATCAGATTGATAAATAGACACCCAGTCCTCCGAAGCCGTTGCTTTTAGGCGTCGAAAACCCTGTTTAAAAGATGGTTATTAGCCTTTACCTTCCTTCGTGATGCATATTCCTTCATTGTAGCTTAAAAAACTTATTTTCAAATCTCCCATCTAATTGCATCATTTTATTTCGACTGTTTTTTGGCTTGTTAATTTTAATGATTAAGATCATGAGTCAGTTGAAGCTAGACCACCATGGAAAACCTGGAAGCACTGGACGGCCGTTTCGTCCTATTATGGGACTCCTCGTGGATTAGTTGAAGTTAGACATTAACACCGTTGGATGCCGGCTGAGTGGTCTAGTGGTTAAGTGCTCGCGCGCGAAACCAGTAGGTCCTGGGTTCGAATCTCGCAGGGAGCGAGGTCGTGGATGCGCACTGCTGAGGAGTCCCATAATAGGACGAAACAGCCGTCCAGTGCTTCCAGGTTTTCCATGGTGGTCTAGCTTCAACTGACTCATGATCTTAATCATTGAAATTACTACAATCTCCACAAAACCCCTTTTGTTAATTTTAGTTTATTAACTGAATTTAACTAATTGTATTCTTACTTATTATCAGCGTTTACACATTACACAACCACATGTTTCTAGCCCTTTGGACTTTCGTTACGCCCCCAAATGCCCTGGTATGGCCGAGAGCGGGGAGGGTTCGCCCTCCCTCTCGAAATACTCGCACACGGCCACGCGTATACAGCCTCTGCCAGGGAAGTCCTACTCACTGCCTTCTCGTGGCGGGGGTGTTGTTTACGAAAATGAAAGGACGAAAAGCGAACGTCCGGCGCTATAACCGGATCCCAATTCTATGGTGCACATGGGCTCCAGTATCCTGCGGGAACAAATGGCGTATGAACCAACTTTTGGTCACCGGCTTCCATGGGACTGCATCTCCTCACGATGCTCCACTGCCTTGTGGACTAGACCTTTAGGTCAAAGGCTCGGGGTGTGGCCCCCTAAGAAAACCACCTGCTTCGGTCTGGGCACCCGGGCAGTATCCCAGCCCACTCACTAAAACTATGATGAACAATTTGCTTATGGAAAATATTCCTTTCTATCTGATTAACATTGAAATAACTCGTACTATTATTATTATTATTATTATTGTTATTATTATTATTATTATTATTATTATTATTATTATTATTATTATTATTACTCTACCACGTCATTTATTCACCCTCTCTTATTCTTACTTTATGTATCCGTTTCGACCTAGACAGCAGCTCACCTATGGTGAAAATTCAGCTTTATCTAAACGTTCCCGAGTCACTGCCTGGTTGAAAATTGTATGTTACTACCGAACATGAGTACTGAAGCAGTTTTTCTGAAACCGCGTGCACCATTCAAACTGGCTACCTTCAACGTTCGCACACTTATGCAGGTCGGACAACAGATAGGTCTGGCTATGTCTTTGGAAAGTCTTAATATTGATGTGTGTTGTCTATCCGAGACCCGTATTCAAGACTCTGGTGAAGTACTACAAGTTCGCTCTCCATCTGTCGCTTCAAAAAGCTTGTTTTATGTGCGTTTATCCGGGGACCCTGTGGCATCTTCGTCTGGTCTTGCTGGCGTTGGGGTCGCACTAAGCGCTAGAGCTGAGGCAGCACTAGTCGACTGGATCCCCATTAACAGTCGGTTATGTGCTGTTAGATTAGAAAGTTCCATCAAAGTGAGAAGAAATAGGCGTGAGAAACGATGTCTTTTCGTCATCTCCGCCTATGCCCCGACAGATTGCAGCCCGGATGCAATCAAGGACGAGTTCTACCATCAGCTAACTGTTCTTCTCCAGAAAGTGCGTTCGACAGATATTGTAGTACTAGCTGGAGACTTGAATGCTCAGGTCGGGCGTCTAGGCACAGAAGAGAGTCGTTTAGGTGGCCGATGGGGACTCGTTGGTCGCAGGACAGATAACGGGGAACGTCTACTGCAACTATGCACAGACCACAACCTGTTTCTGGCTAGCACTAACTTTCGGCACAATCATCGCCGATGTGCCACCTGGCGTCCTCCTTCTACATCTCAAGCCTGGACTCAGATTGATCACATCGCGATCAGCTACCGCTGGCGTGGTTGTGTACAAGACTGCCGCTCCTTTTGGAGTACCTATCTGGAATCTGATCATGCTCTGGTCTGCGCCAATCTTACCTTACTTTTCAGTGGACAACGAAGTGACCGCCACCAAAGGATTGATGTTAGCAAGCTGGCTGCAACTTCTGTTGCTAGTAAGTACCGAACCGAGCTAGCTTCTAGGCTAGCTACCATTCCACCGAAAAGTATAGATGAGCATTGGTTGCAATTGCATGACGCCATGAAAATGGCGGGTACAGTCTGTTGTGGGTTTGCGAAACGTCCCGCTTACAAGCACTGGGTTTCTTCTGGTTCCTTACAACTGATTGAAGCCCGTCGGTCTACTCCGGGTGACCGTGAGTTTGACCACAGACGAAGGATGTTACGTAATGAAATCGGCCAAAGCTTGCGTAAGGACCGAGAAGCCTGGTGGTCGGAGCGTGCCAGTGAGTTGGAAGCAGCAGCTGCATCTGGTAATTACCGGAAGCTCTTCCAACTCATCCGAGCCACTGGCAGCAAGAAGTCTGGTGTGAGCGAAACAATTTGCGAGGATGACGGAACGCCAATCACTAACATCCATCGACGTCTTGGACGATGGGCAGAATTCTTCGAAGGGCAGTTCAACTGGCCTGCTGCTCCGGCAACATCGGCCAGACTGTCCTGCCCTCCATGGCCGGTGACGACTGATCCACCAAATGAGGCGGAAGTCCGCAAGGAACTCCGACTCTTGAAACGCTACCAATCACCGGGCCCAGATGACTTACCTCCGGCTCTTTTTAAAGATGGTGGTGACTTTCTGACTAAGGAACTGACCACGTTGTTTACAAAGGTCTGGGAACTAGAGAGTGTACCAACGTCATGGAATGAGTCGATAGTTTTCCTTATCTTTAAAAAGGGTTCACGTCGTTCCTGTAACAACTATCGGGGGATAAGTCTATTTCCGATTGCGTACAAGCTATTGGCTTCCGTCATACTTCGTAGGTTGTTCAGGACCCGAGAAGGATTGACTCGCGAGGAGCAGGCTGGGTTTCGTTCTGGTCGAGGATGTATTGATCATATCTTCACCCTCCGCCAAGTGTTAGAACACCGCCATACTTATCAAAGGCCAACAATCGTAGTGTTTCTTGATATCAGGGCTGCCTTCGATTCGTTGGACAGAACTGTTCTCTGGGATTGTCTATTGAAGAAGGGTGTGCCTGAGAAGTTTATTAACATCCTAAAAGCCCTATACACAAACACCTCTGGCAGAGTGAGGGCACACAACCACCTTTCTCCACTATTCCATTCGAGCAGTGGGGTTAGGAAGGGTTGCCCAATCTCACCATTCCTCTTCAACTTTGCCATCGATGACATTCTGGAAACAGCTCTGACAGATGTAAGTAAGGGTGGTGTGGATCTGTTGCCTGGAGAAAGACTTCTCGACCTTGAGTATGCGAATGATATTGTCTTACTGTGCGAGAATGCCCAAGCTATGCAATCCGCACTTAATCAGTTGGCAATCAATGTCCGTAGGTATGGTATGTGCTTTGCACCTTCGAAGTGCAAAGTACTCCTACAAGACTGGCAGGATTCTAATCCTGTACTCACTCTGGACGGTAAGCAGATAGAAGTGGTCGAGAAGTTCGTGTATCTAGGTAGCTGCATAAGTGCTGGTGGTGGTGTGAGTGATGAGATCAATGCACGCATAGTGAAAGCCAGAGCGGCTTATGCCAATCTGGGCCATCTTTGGCGCCTTCGTGATGTTAGTCTGGCTGTTAAAGGTCGGATCTACAAGGCGACGGTGAGAGCAGTTTTGCTGTATGCTTGTGAAACCTGGCCTCTCCGAGTTGAGGATGTTAGACGACTCTCTGTGTTCGATCATCGTTGTCTCCGAAGGATTGCTGGCATCCAGTGGCAACACCATGTCAGTAATGCAGAGGTTCGGCATCGAGTGTTCGGTCACAGAGACGATAATGAAATTGGTGTCACCATCTTGAAACACCGACTTCGGTGGCTTGGACATGTTCTACGAATGTCGTCCCAGAGAATTCCTCGTCGTGCTTTATTTGCCGACTCTGGGACTGGTTGGAAAAAGCGGAGAGGTGGTCAGTATATGACATGGTGTCGTGGTATGAAAGAAAGCTGCAAAGGGCTGGTTTGTGTTGGTCCTTCACGACTCCCTGGTTGGGGTCCGAAAGACGGTGTAACGCAGTGGCTAGAGACGTTATCAGATATGGCTAAGAATAGAAGCCAGTGGCGATCGTGCTGTAACCTCTTACTTTCTTCATAGAAAGTGGTTATATCTTCCTTAATTGAAAGATCTCTTCTGATTGTACCTTTCCGTTTCCCCCACCATTGTTCTCTCTCTCTCCCCTTTTTTTTATAATTCCCCACGTTCATTACTTTTTTTTTCTCTTTTCTCCTTCTCTTCAAATTATCATTGTTTTGTGTGGCGCATATATATTTGGTGCCCCCCTGTACCAATATTTATGTGTTCAAATAAATAAAAAAATAAATAATAAAAGCCCTTTGGACTTTCGTTACAATCAATGTTGTAGAATGTTCTTTTGGGTGATATATACATTTACAATATCTTATTCAGTCTATTAAGTTTATTTACATCCTTGCTATAATAAGCTGATGTGTCTTCAAAATAACTTACAACTAAAATCTTTCATGTACTTTGAACTCATTTTGTAATTATGACTTTAAATATCTCAGGTTGTAAGCAGCTGGAGAGAACCAAACAAAATAAAATAAATTCATACTATTCTGCTAAAATCTGTGTTCTTGCTCCTTCCAAGATGATAAATGGAAATATGTGTATAAAATTTCTCACAAAACGTTTTCTTGCACAATTTTTTAAATCACTGAATCACTTTGTGACTACGCGGCAGATATTTTTTTACTGATACACCCGAAGTGATTAAAAAGCTTGAATGCACGAATAATTTTGAAGTCAGACATACAGTGCTAAACAGAAGTGTTAAGTCACTTGTTAAAATCGTATGTATTACTTGGGACTGTTTACCGCCTACTATTACGCACAATAGCGACTGACACAAAAGTAAACTGGGAAGAAATTACGAGTAGTTAAACAGTTATTAATAGCACCATCCTATACTCTCTATTCTTCGTTCTCATTTATCAAAAATATAGAGGAAAATAGTTGATATCCTGGATTATGTATTTTATTTAGGAAAGAAAAGATGTAAAACTGAATATTCTTTTAAAATGCAAAAATGGGCAGAATTACTTAACTAATCTACAAACTAATATGATTTTATTGAAAAAGTTTTTGCACACACACACACATCAAAACCATGAAATTTAATCTACGTACATTTATATATGTAAATATGCATTAACACAAAACAGTAATGCAAGTGTAATGTGTACAAAACTTTTTTTCAGTCAACGTATACAAAAGACATAAGATGTAACTAAGAATGTTCATCTAAACTATGATACATAAATTATAAACACAATATATATGTATAGAAAAAAAGAAAATAGGAAGACTAATAGTTAGTATACAACAAGAGTTTAATTAAATTGTAGTTATTTGGTATTTATTGAACTAAAATACGAAAAACAAGCAACGTTTTGAATTGAATTATTATATGTATTCATTCATCCTAAAACAATTATAGAAATGTAATTGAGATGATTAAAGTGATATTGTATGTGGCTAATTTCGATAACAATTGGAAATATTCTGTTCTTAATTTGTTTTTGTTTTTATATTTCATTCTTAAAATAATAATTAATTCATAATCATTATTATCATTATCATTAGTGAGTTATATCAATTCCAAACATCAACACTACTACAATACTGGAATTACAGGTTTGTTCACATCACTGTTATTTATTGAGGTGGGGAAAGATTTTGACGATTTATTATCATTAGATGATGGTGTCAACAGATGGATATCATTTTTGGATTGTCGAATTTTATCACATATAACAACATGGGATTCTGTAAGGTTAGATTTATTGCTTGACAGATTTTTATCTTCTTTGTGACCATGTTGATTGTCATCTTTTCCTCTGAAGCGTATGGGAAAGAGAAAAACACAAATTTAATACAATGAAATATTAAAAGAACATTGGTTGTAAACGGTGAAATCAGTCAGCCAATCACGTCTAAGACAAATATGCATTACCCCTATGAATACTGCAACTCGATAACTGGAGAGAGAAGAAAACACAATGCTTCTGAGCCACTACGACAAATTTTGAGCCAGCCCTAAGGTAAAGATTTAGTTTGACTGTCCCTAAATTTATTCCATATTAACTTCTGTCATAATAGATATATGAAGATAGTCTGTACAAGATGCACATGTCGAAAACCAAAACAGATTCAATTTCAGTCGAAATATCAACAATGGGATAATTTAAACGAATTAAAATTGAATTACTATTAACTGCGTGTAATAGTTATTGTTCAAATGAAACAATCATTCTATTATATGATAAAATCAAGGCGTCATGCATATTGACAACTATAAATTAATAAAACAAAATTCATAACGCAAATTATATATATATATATATATATATATATATATATATATATATATATATATATATATGAACTATGTGCCTGTTGTTCTTTCTTCTGGGTTGCTTGTGGAATTACATATTTTCTCTGTTGAATCTGTTTTTTTTTAATTAGCAGGGCTGAGGTGCAAGTGAATAGCTCAGCTTGTCCTGTTGTTGTGTTGCTGCCCTTCACTCCGTTGGTCAGTACTAGGTAATATCTTAATCCCTCGAACATAGTACCTATGCAAACCCACACTAATTCCAATCGCAATGATAACTGAAATATTTTTTTGTAGGCTTACCTTATCTGTATAACTAATATTCCATTTACACGATTGAGAGTTTCTAAAATTGAAGAAACAGTTGGCATAGGCAAAGTTAATGAACCACCACCACCAGTACCTCCAGTAGCGTTGACATTCCCACTAACACCACCACAGAATGCATTTGATAAAACTGCTTTAGCAACAAGTGATTCACTGATAGAAAGATGATTGTTAGTTGAATGTGAATTCAAATGACTACTGGACGAAGAAGAATCACTACTTCCAATTGACTTTGTTGTGGAGGCATTTGCTGTGAGTTCAGCTACTTTACGTGCGATTGTCACAGCTTGTTGGGTAAGTTGTCGCAAACATTCATCACTATCTTTAGTATAGTCGCTATCTGGACCTAAACGTTCTTTGTATATTAAAAAACGACGTTTTTCATAATCAAGAGCAGTACGAAAATCGCCGCGATAAGTATACGTAAGACTGATTAAATGACAAGTGAAAGCTTCTTTCAAATTTCGTTCACCATAAAATCTAAAACATAAAAAATCATACTTAGTGAATGCTATACGCGCATTGAATACTTTAAATTTATTAGATAATAAGAAACCTTCAACAGCAGAGATTTTTTCTTCTATTTAACTAGAAAACTGACATTAATCAACGAATTAAATTATACTTGACTGCAGTATGTGACTTTAATTTGTCGAATAATTTCAACAGTTAACAAAATCAATTATTTTGAGAAATTATTTTACTGCAATCAGTAAAGATGTGAGCTACGCAGTCAACAATTGGAAAAAATGGTTTAACAGACTGTCTTCAATTAATTACTTTGAGGGCAAAAATACTAGAGAAATGGCACCATCAAATTAATTGTAACTTGGGAGTATGAAGATCCAACACTGTTTCGTGGTGGGGGATAAACTCGGAAAATCAAAAGTCTGGGTATCAACTCCGGATCTTCAAAAAAGGGGAGGTGTGTTATGTCCCGATAAGCATAGTGAATAGTAACTTTTGGGTAACATTTATGGACCAATACTAAACGTATATTTTTATCGTATAATTGTTGTGTAACTAAACTATTCATATTCATGTCCCTCTTATCATAAGCTTTATTTTGACCCATGGACTATTATTGTACGACTTACCATTCTTCAATTATGCCCTGTCTATTAATTACTACCTTTTACATTTACAGCCACATTTGGTTAATTCTTGTACAAATGTTGTTTCATATTTTATGGTGTGATGTGGTCTGTCTGGTTGGTATATAAACCGAGTATGTTTGAAATAAATGATTCATATTGCAGGGGCTGAGACTGGTGTTCTGGACTTAACTGGCTGGGATAGGCAGGAAGCAGGACCGTTAAGTACTCTAGACTGCTCTTATGGGTTTTATGAGTCACTGGTCCGATTCATAATTCATTGCCCCCTAATTGGCGGTATCGTTACGTTATACATTAACAGGGCACCCAGGTCGCAAGTTATAACATAAGTGGAACAAGTTTACGAATAAGATAATGCTCTGTTACAGTAAGCCTTCTTTGATAAGCAGCCAAGAAAATTGATCGAAGAGAAAAGATCGTTTTGGCATATTAAAGTAACTAAATGCCAAACAAGCTAATTGTCAATTTACTTCTAAATTAAGGTAGGGTAATAAATAAGGTTTTAAAGATGTGAACTAAATCAACTTACAATTTAATCAAAGATAATGCATTCTCGAAAAAGATTAAAGCCAAATCTAATTCACCAACCAACTGTAACATTAAACCGATATTAGTCTAAAATAATAAAGAATAACGAACCATAAGAGATCAATCCAAATCAAATAAGAGAAATTATAATAAAAAATAAGTTGATTAGAAAGAAAAACAACATTTAAAATGAACTAGTATTGTAAATAAATGGTAGTTGGAATGTTGTTATGATCTGTCTTATTATAACTCAGCTCTGACTTTTATTGTTTGGACAATTTACTTCATTCGACAATTTCTCAAATCAGAACAGGAATGCAATTATTTTTTAAATAAAAAAAATGTTGAATGGAAGTAGGAATCACTATAAGAAAGTTAGTATGTTTATAATTTTTACACGAAACAATTCTCGAGTATCCGTTAGACCTAATTCGCGAAGAAATAGTCAATCAACATGATCCAACACATTCATGAATGGAACATGCTTTCATCCAATTTATATCTAGCTGTTGTTGTTACTTGATAGTTGTTTTCGCTTTAATTTTTCTATTTTTTGTGTGTTCCGAAGTCAGTGTCAGTTCTACTGGAACATTCATTTATTTGAATAACAAGTTCCCTCTTGAATTCCTGAGCTCACTCTCAGCCATCGAGTGGTGGTTTATTGTTGCGTGGTAATCATCCAGTTTATCTAATTTGCATAGTTAATGTAAGTATTGAAAGAATTTTCTAATTGTTATTCAGAAAAATCTTAAGTTATAACAAATATAAACAAAAAGCGAGGTCAAAACTCACTACTCTATAACAGTCTATAATAAATAAGAGTGAATTATAATCCATATTACTAAACTATATTATTTTAAAAAAAGGAACGGGAAAAAAACAATAACTGTAAATAAGTTATGAACATTTTGAAGCATGAAAAAAATAGGGCTTACGTCTATTTGTGTTATTTCGGGATGACATTCACCATGGCATAAGAGTGCTATGTAACGAGCTCGATAAAGTAATTGTAAAGCAGTAGATATATGTCCACAAGCGAATACATAAAGTGAGAAATGTATCTACATGATGTGAAGAAATAAAGTAATTGGAACAAATCAATATAAATCTATAAATTACAATATGCAGCATATTTGCTGAATAGTCGGTCAGTATGTGGATTACAGAATTAAGTTACAGTTCATAAAGTCAATTAAATCGATCTGAGAAAATTATTGAGAAGGGTGGGTTGACTGAACTGTTAAATCTACTTACTATACCTCTGGTCGAAATACACAATGGAGCATATACGAAATACGTTTACATTGACCACAATTTGATCAGATGACTTTGGTTATTAAATGTATATAGAGAGAGAACTGAAATGCTTAAGGGTAAAAATAGAGGAAATGAGTTTTCTAATGACTGTTAGCATAAAGCGAAATCGGTTAGTAAACTAGCAACTGTGATAAACGAACATTAAAGAATCATGAATGTGAAGTTAGAGTTTTTATATCATAGAATAAACTTATTATAACAATTAGGTATTTCTCATAGCTTTGTAGTAACATTTAAAATAAATACTATCGCTACAACATTTAGAAGTTGATTGAACAACTTACCAATTGATATCTTCAAATTAATTCAATAACAACACGAAACCAAACTAAGCAAGACTTATTCATACAAGCCGGTCCATTAATATTTCAGATAAGAGATTCTTTATAATTAAGCCGTAACCAGTGGAAACTAATCCGTGTTGGGTATGACACAGTTATCCATTTCGGATAATAGATGAAGAGTTGAGCAAGATCGTGGATTGATTGGAGTTAGGCATTAACACTGTTGGATACCAGCTCAGTGGTCTAGAGGTTAAGCGTCCATGCGTTAGACCTAAGTTCCGGGGTTCGAGTCCAGCGTGTGTGTTCGTGGTTGCGCACTGTCGAGCTCCATACTAGGACGAAATGGCCGTCCAGTGCATCCAGGTTTTCAATACTCGTGAATTAAACTGTTAAAATACTAAAACCCCCACAGATCCCACTTACTGATAAGTAATCATTTGCACTTTATTGTGTTAGAGATGCTAGATCCCCAGAACTTACTTGGTAATTGTCTTATCAATGTAATTTTATATTTTAAATTTGAATTTTCTTTTTTCGCACCAAAAGCGCTCATTTTTACCTCTATATCGTATTGGCCACTTGAGAGGACCTTCAATGTCATTGGTTCGTTGTTTATTTTAATATGCTATTTTGCAACCTTTCCCAAGGACGTTTTTATACTATATATTTATATACACTTCAGTTGTGCTTATTGTTGTTCGTGTTTCTGACTGCTTGTGGACTATATTTTCCCTCTTGTGAACTTGGACTTCTCTCTCTAGTTAGCAGACTGGGACGCGTCAGAACAGTTAATTTATCTGGTCATCGCGTCGCTGAGTCTTCGTTCCGTTCGCAGATTTAGGTGAACTCGTAATCTCTTCAAACGTAGCGTGTTGTACATTTATTATACTTATCATTAGGTTTTACATATTAAATTTTCCGAAAAAAAAGTCAATTCGCAACAATATAAAGAACCTACATATTCAGTAGCTGTATTCGGATTATCAATTCCGTGTACACGTTCACTAATCATAGTAGCACGATGCTGGAATAATAATGCAGCTTCATGTTCACCCATAACATAAGATAAACGAGCTAAAAGACGATTACAAGCACCAATATCAGGATGAAGAGGACCATATACACCATTCAAAAGACTTAAAGCTTCATTAATTAACTCGAATCCTTCTTGAAGATGACCAGCAGAAATTCGAGCTTGACCAGTTGTAAAATAATGATAAGCATCAGTTGCATGAGGATGTAAATGTTTCACTATTGGGTAAAGAGATATTATATCTTCAGTATTAAATACCGGTTTTTGATGATGTTTAGCACCATTCGGTAGATTGAGATTATACTCGCGTAAAAGTAGCTGAATACCAACAGATGTACAAAATGTTCTAAGAAGCTGAATACGTTGAACTTCATAAGTCTTACAGAATTCATCAATGTCCGACCTAAACATGGATAGATTGGAAAAAAAATCCATTATTAACAACGATTATAGTTACAAAATATGTACAATATATATATATGAAACGTTGTCCGATATGTGTGCGGAAAGTGTAAGCATATATAAAGGTTTAAAAAAAAACTGAATGTATTATCTGGCCTAATTTAAATGTGAAGAACAAGCAATGAGGGATTAACAGAAATCGGACAAAATTTAAACCGTACAAAACTGATGCATAATGTGAAAGAGTTCATTAGATAAATTATTTAACGTGATAGATTTAATTTGCTTCAACAACAACTGTTGCTTGTTTTTAATTTTCACTATTAAATTTTCATAATAAATGCCAAGACCGATGAGTATTTGTTACTTAATTAATAAGTAATGGTAGACAGTATCTTTTTTACGTTTTGAAATCAATGTTCGTTAAATGTATTTGAAGCCAAATCAAAATTTATAGTTGTGCAGCTGTAAACATACGATTAAAATTACTACTTAATGCCATAAGATTTTACACAACCTTACGTTACAGAATTATTCAAAGCGATAAACAATCTTTTATATTAAAATTATGAATTGATAAGTGTTAGACCACCATTGAAAACTTGGAAGCACTGGATGGCCGTCTTGTTCTAGTATAGGACATCGTAGTAGTGCGCATCCACGATCCCATACGCGGGATTTGAACTCAACACCTTAGGTCTCACGCACAAACCACAGACCACTGAGCTGGCATACTTATGTGTTAATGTCCAATCCACGATGGTGATCTGACATTGATCGGTTCATGATAAAAATGAAATTCAATGATCCCCACAAAACCAAACTGAAAATCTTTTATATGAAAAATTACATATAAAAATTGTAGCGTGACCATGAGAAAGAAAACTATTCAACAAGTACCATGAAACGTTAAATAGTTCATAGTCGTGATCAATTATATAATTCCAATTTTCGGTATTTATGCTTGCATCCAAGGACAATAAGATGATAACGATAATAAATAATAATAGTAATATTAAACTAAATTACAAAGGCCTATTCAAGATATTATACAATGTTGACGTTCATTAAGGGACTAGTTGTTATCAGTTTAAAAACATGTTGAACAACAATCGATATAGGTATTCAGAACAGATAATATTCGTAGATTACCAGTATTCGATCAAAAATGTTTCAGAAACATCTCTCGTGCATTATGGGACCACCGAGTGAGCAGTATATATATATATATATATATATATATATATATATATATATATAGGGTATTCGGTCAAGATGCCAAATTAATTGATGTGTTGAGTCTTTATCAACTCAAGTGGATGAGATATAGTGTTACGTAAACCCAACCGTCGCCTACTTCGACGTGTGATGTCATCTGGTGTACTAGATTGAAAGGTTAGGCGAAAAGAAACGAGACAGCAACAGCTCAAGTAGACAGTGACTACTAGATAAAGTCATGTAGGTAGGTACAGACAACCTAGTAGGAAGTTCATTGTAATCAATGGTCAGAGACGATAGGTGTCATGGTTTGTAACGACCCAAGTGGATTTGCTTTTCTTTATCCTTAGATTGTACGTCACCTTAAAAAAAGTTACTCCAAGAATCCATGGCTGACTAACTGACCAAGTGGAAATGGTAGTCGTTTCTCACTAGAACAATTAACTTACGCAGTTATTTGATAATGATAATATTCCTTAGCTTCTTTAATTATTTCAGACCATAAACTGGAATGTGTTTCATTAAGCCATGCCATTTCTTCTGTTAAGTGAAAGAAACAAAACAATAACAATAAAAAATTGTTAGAAACACCACATTAAACAAATTCAACTATTTATTTTCTGTATAAAGTATAAAAAAAATGAAGAATAATTTTCGATTGAATCATAGATTAAATATAAGTACAATGTTAAATATACAGTCCAACAATTTAAGCGTATAGAAGTCGGATATACTCAACCTGATCATATATATATATATATATATATAATTAAAAGTCTCTGTTCATTAATACTGAATTTTGTTACGTGATAACCGTAATACCAATTGTCTATAATTTGAGATTACCACATAGCGCATATGAAATACAACTTTATGAAACTCAATACAAACCAACCTGGTGATTCACGAAGATTTTTCAATTTCTTCTTATTCTTTTTATTACGATTCAGTTTGAGAACTTGCTACCATTGAAGCAAAAAAGAACGAAATAAAATCATTTGTGTTAAATTACCAAATTTCGAAGATAGCATAGCATAAAATTAACGAAAATAATACTAAAAATAGCAATGATAATTCAAAATTGCTTATTAAGATACAAAATTTTTGATATAAAATAGATTGAATGTGGCTAAAAGTGGAATCCAAGACGCACGTTTCGTCCTATTTGAGACTCGTTAGCTGGATGAAACGCGCGCGCTGGATTACACTGATAACCACATACAACCTATTTCACATAAACTTGTGCCTTAATGGCTATATTGAGGCAACCCGCACAGGATGTACATACTCCAACTAAGAGGGATCAAATTTCAGTCAAACTATTAACAATTAAATAATCAACACTATTACAAATTATGAAACTATTAAATCTCATCATATTAACAAGTAATTAATAAAACACTTTAATACATTTGCTTAGCAGAACAGGATTACATGTAATAGCACACACATACGATTAACTGAATACATGTAAGCGCACAATAACCTTAATTCAATCAAACAAATATACTCACCTCATCAATCCCAAGTAACGGTGTAAGATTAGGACATGCTGTTAGAAAACAGTTGAGGAAATGAGCAACCCCAACAGAAAGAAGCATAGGATCAACATCTTGAAGATATGTTTTAAATAAATGTTTTGCAGACCGTAACAAAACTTCGCAAATAGCCATTTTCTAAATAAAACAAGGGAATATAAACATAATAAAACGGTTAATGTAACCTGTTGCACAACATTAAGTTGAGAAAAGTGAGAGTGAACAACAGTGACATAACAACTGAACAACACTGAACATTTGAACAATCAACATAAAACAGCAGCTACCCTAGGAAATTCACAATTAGATAAAACTATTTGGCGAAATTGTAATGCTGACCCCCCCATTGAAATCTAATCTGGTAAAGAAAAGTACGTCTGGATTATAAATTCGTGAACCTATTTATTGTAGTGAATTTATAAGCAAACTTATCTTCATTACAACAAAAGCCACTGAAAATTGTACATTTTTCGATAACACTTAAAATAAACACATTTATGACAAATAAAGTCATATTTAATTCTTAGTCTAGTGAAGTATTTTGCAAATTCCCAAAACTCGATTTACATAAAAATTATAGTTTGTCAGAGCATTATGATATACAAACTCGTCTGTATAAATATCATTGACAGTTAAAGAACAGGTATGAAATTTAATTACTAATCGGTAAATTAGCCAATTCAAGTTTTTTACTTGAACAAAGAATTTCAGATTGCAAGGGAACAATTAACATCTAACAAACGAACATGGATGATTGTAAGCACAAAAAAGCATGGCAAAAGAGATGAGTATCAAAATTCGCAATATGCAACTACGTGAATAATAAGAAGAAAAGAATCGAATTAAAAGCACGGTGATCAGTCAGTCAGTCAACTGCAACGTAGGACCAAGCACATATATGTATCGGTCCAAGTTGCCATACCGCATTAGAACAACAAGATGAACAACAAATTCATAGAAGTAGTTAATTCGGTGGTGGTAATATATAAAAGAAAGATTGCATATAAGGAGATAGTACAGGAAGAAAGAATTAGTTGGTAGAAAGAAAGATATAAAGCGATTCTAATCTCTTAGTTTAAAGGAAAACAGAGAGTGTATACACCTACGCAATTGTGATCGATTCTGAGCCACGTCACCAAAAGCATGATAATATGATATTCTTGTTCTGTACACTAATATTTAAGATATGGACGAGTGTATAGACTCACTTTGAGATAACCTAACGACTGGTGAATACCGACTGATTCGATCACACGATTCAAATAACGCACATTAATGCCACTGCGAAAGAAAAAGAAACAATGAGAATTATTATTTGAGTATATGAATAGAACAGTTGGTTCAAGCATTTTCGAAAATTATTTCAGTCAACATAATGCAATCTGTAATTTAAGCGGTTTCTGGGTAAGACAACATAACAGTGAAAATCATATGGGCTGCAGTCAACATCAATCATCTGAATAACTTGTTAATCATATTGCATTTTTATCAAAAATAATGATGTCATATACCCCAACATTTGTTAAATCTAAAGATTCACTGCACATGGATTAGTTAATTATATTGTAGAATTAAGTAGTCATTAAAATGTTCTGTTATGAATAAGACTATCAAAGTCTACAGTAAAATGGTCATGTCATTTTCCAACAAAACTATCTGATAATGAAACTAGTGACTTATCATAAACGAGACTATTTCTTTGCTGTGAAGGTAAATCTGCCAATAGCACTTTTTCAATTTAAGACGACCATTAGAACATAGAACATTTTATGCAAACAAACTATAACTCCTAATCATATTTCAAAACTCTCATATAGTAATAAAAACTAGGTGGCCAAATATTAATACCAGTTAACTTACCGCTGATGCATTAACTCTATCAGAGCTCTACCATCTTGAGGAGTGATGCACAAACTTAATGCGTCTCTAACAAACGCTGGAATTTGTTTTAAAACCAGAAATTCGCAAGCACTGCATACTAGTTCTTGATCAACTGTTAATGATTGTTCCTAAGATGAAGAAGTTTAAATTTCTGTCTGAGACATATATAGAAGTTTTATCAAAAAAAGTGAATTTCCAAAAACAGAAACACTGTCCAACTAGCAGCTGGTATAAATACACGAAGGATTAAAGGTCATTCAGTGAAGTAAAGTGACATGAATGAGTTAATTATTGCATGATAAATTAACAGCTGGGAATATAAATGAAGGTAATGCAATAACCAACGAGAATTCGCATTTAGCAATCATCCATGCCTAACAATCGAATATGGCAAACAAAGGAAACTTTCACTAAGCATATGGTTTATTCGGAACGGGAAAGGGTACATTTCTGTAACAACATTTTACAGGATTAGTAGAAAAAAGTTGTACAAGTGAGAAATATTGTACAAATTACTATGCAAATTTATAAATTTCAAATAATTAGTTACACAACCATCAGTTGAAATTTAGCTGTTTAAATCCCCGATAGCACCACTCATTTATTGATGACGAATAAACAACATATTTTCATTTACAACTAACGTAATGGTCAACAGATTGATTAATTATTATGCATACTTCAACATAAACTCGAGTGTCACAAAAATGCTCACCTCTGAATCACAAAATTTGACAAATTTTTGATAAATATCAGGATTAAATGTAAGCTCAAAACGATCTGTACTCAGAGAACCGACAGTTGCTGCTGCTTTGCGGATAGCTTCCCGAATTACGTCATCTGAACAAAAATAAGAGTTAAAATATCAAAGATTAAGATTACATGCGTTTAAATAAAAATTTAAAATGAAGAAACAATACTGAAAACCGGTGAATAACAACTGTAATGCTTTATTTACGAATGTTAGAAGACAGAACTGATAGAAAAGCTTAACGTTTAGACTAAAAATGTTACTTTCAATGCATACTTTTGTCTTTGAACCTGCGGTTATGGATAGTTTCAGTAGGTTTTCATATCCTTGTAATGAGAAGCGTTTTCTAGTTAGAAATAGGAAAATCTCCACTGAACTATTGAGAACCGATGTAGATGAGTCATAATTCATACTTGTAACCTACTGACTGAAAGCCGTTTGTTTTATCTACAAGATACTACTGAAATTTAATTTAATTTTGTTCAAGGACTAAGAACCATTGAAGTTGGGAGCATACTGACAGGTTATTAAATCCTAGGTTAAGTTCCATGTCGAGGGTTTTGAATGAGGACTGTTGAAGCGTCTGTCTCAAATACAGAAAACACGCCATCCAGTCCTCCATGATGCAACACCTGTGAACTTTGAATATAATATAAACCCCGTAAGTTCACCCCTCTCTCCACTGTCTCAAACGTAGTTAAACAATTTCATAAAACCAAGAAGTATACCCAAGCTTAAGAAATACAGATCCTTTCGCCTGTGGAAATTTATATTCAAGATAAGAGCCAAAACAGAGATAATAAAAATTAATGAAGGTCAAATCACTTTTTTGTGTGTCTTGATCATCTTCTAGTAATTTTTTCATCAGGCTTAAATCATCTGATTGATTCTTGTTTGGAGACTTTATTGTCCCAATCCCTGAGTTCAAAGCATTACCGGAGTGTCCAGTAACATCATGGTGGTCTATTTGATGTTTGGTTGTAATTAGACTATCTTTGGGAGACAAGGGATCATCATTAGTGTTTGAACAGTTAGCTTGTTCATTTTGCACACCAACAGCATCCTATAACACATACAAAAAAATATAATTCATGTAAACATGAGTAATATTTAAAAGCAAATCATAAATGAGACAACAAAATTGATCTGACAAAACAATAATAGCAAGATTCATCGACCCTAATTGTTTTAAAACTTTTTGTCAGCTGCAAGAAGTTTAAAGTGATATACAGAGTAAAGAGATCAGAAAAGAAGAGTTTGAAATAGCTTATTTCATTAAAAACTGAGATGGATGTTCGAAGCAAAACAAGAAATCATACGAGAAAAATGACGAAACATTGTTGCTAAGATAACTAGATACGGCGGAGACGCTCGATTGTTCCGGAGCACATGTTTAGATTCTGATCATGCTCTAATGCGAGCACGTGACTGCTTGTGCCTCACTTGACGCAGAAAAACCACATTAAGACCCATTAGAGTTTAACTCAGTGACGAGAAAGTCAAAAGTAGATTCCAGAAACAACCGAGATCACACTTAAGCAGTTCTGAAAACGAGGTTGACTTAGATCCTGCTTGGAAAAATATACAAACAGCAGCTATATCAATTGGTAATTTGAACCAAAGGGTCACGATAGATTCTCGTAAACTCATCCCATCAGGCTCTGAACATGCTGAGAAGCGTAAAGAAATCAGATCTACGTTAGATAAAAGTCTAAGGAACGATTGTGAGCAGTGGTGGGCAACGAAAGCAAAAGAGATGGAAAAGGTGGCGGCTTTTGGTAACACCAGACAGCTTTTCAGACAAATAAAAAAAACTGGAATTAAGAATTCAAGTGTCAAACGATTTCGGAAAAATACGACACATATCTGCCCTCAGACCAGACGTTTAGAACGACAGGCGAAGTTCAGCTGGTCTTCTGCTAATCTAAAACTACCCACCATTCCTAATGGAACAATGAAGTAGGACCCTCGACTCTAATTGAAGTTCGAGAAGCAATAGCTAATTTGAAACGAGGAAGAGCAGCTGGTCCAGATGGATTGGCTCCATAGGTCTTTAAGTATGGTGATCCAGTTTTAGCGATTAGGTTGACTAACATTTTAGCTAAGATCTGGGAGTGGGACGTAATCCCATCTGACTGGTCACAATCACTGATTGTCCCAATATATAAGAGGGGGTCAAAATCATCCTTCGATAACCATAGAGGGATTAGATTGACTAACATAGAATCTAAAATGCAAGCCTTAATAATTATTGGGCACCTAACAAAGATTCGTGAACTGTCAACACGTGAAAATCAGACTGGCTTCAGAACTAGTCGTGACTGCATCTACCACATATTCACCATTCGTTAGGTTCTAGAACATAGGCATGCTTATCGGCGTCCGATAATGATCGTCTTTCCTGACTATGTAGACCAAGAGGTTCTCTGGAATTGTCTACTGATGGAAACAACGTTCTCGTCCACTGAATTTTTGGGCATTGATCTCCTACCAGGAGGTACACTTATCTACTTTGAATACGCAGATGACGTAATCCTGTTTGGTGAAGACGCTGATAAAATGCAGAGTTTTTCGGTAGCACTGAGCAACAATGTCAGGATGTTTGGGATGCTCTTCTCCCCCTCTAAATACAAGTTGTTGCTCCACGACCTGCCTGCGTAAACACCTGAACTAAGGTTGGGAAGTGAAGTAGTCGAACGCGTTGATAACTTCACTTATCTTGAAAGTCTGATCAGCCCAAATGGGATAGTGTCTGACGAAATCTCAAAATGGATTCGTAAAGCTCGTTTGGCTTTTGCCAACTTACGTGACCTATGGCGAAGGCAAGATATCCGTCTATCAATTAAGGGATGAGTAAACTGCGCGGCAGTTTGTTCCGTTCTATTTTACGGCTGCGAAACGTGGCCAGTACGGGTAGAAGATGCTCGGAAGCTACTAGTGTTTGACCACAGATGCCTTAGAAATAATGCTGGGATCACCGGGTAAGTAATAGTTGAGGTTTGACACAAAGTATTAGGGAATGATGGTAAATCAGTTGACGAGGTCGTAAATCTTCATCGACTAAGATAGATGGACCATGTGTCACGTAGGCCTGAACACCGTCTACCACAACGTGCAATGCTGATTAGTGTTGGAAACAGATGGAAGAAATTTACTTACTTACGCCTGTTACTCCTCGTGAAGGAGCATAGGCCGCTCACCAGCATTCTCCATCCAACCCTGTCCTGGGCAATCCTTTCAAGCTCTTTCCAGTTCTTATTCATCTTTTTCATATCTGCTTCTATTTCCCGACGTAATGTGTTCTTTGGCCTTCCTCTTTTCCTCTCCCCTTCAGGATTCCAAGTTAGCGCTTGTCCCGTAATGCAGTTTGATGATTTCCTCAATGTATGTCCTATCCATTTCCATCGTCTTTTCCTAATTTCCTCTTCAGCTGGAAGCTGGTTGGTTCTCTCCCACAAAAGGCTGTTGCTGATGGTATCCGGCCAATGGATGTTGAGTATCATGCGTAGGCAGCTATTGATAAATACCTGTACCTTCTTGATGGTGGTTGTTGTAGTTCTCCAAGTTTCAGCTCCGTACAGTAGAACTGCCTTGACGTTCGTATTGAAGATTCTGACTTTGATATTGGTTGAAAGTTGTTTTGAGTTCCATATGTTCTTCAGTTGAAGGAATGCCTCTCTAGCTTTGCCAATCCTCGCCTTGACGTCTGCATCTGAACCTCCTTGTTTATTGACGATGCTTCCCAGGTATGTGAAGGATACCACGTCTTCCAGAGTTTCACCATCAAGAGTGATTGGATTGCTGTTCTCCGTGTTGTATTTGAGGACCTTGGTTTTCCCTTTGTGTATGTTGAGGCCTACTGATGCAGAGACTGCTGCTATGCTGGCTGTCTTTATCTGCATTTGTTCGTGTGTATGTGATAGGTGGGCTAGGTCATCTGCGAAGTCTAAATCGTTTAATTGGTTCTGAGCTGTCCATCGTATGCCGTAGTTTCCCTCAGATGTCGAGGTCTTCATAATCCAGTCGACCACCAGAAGAAACAGGAAGGGAGAGAGAAGACAGCCTTGTCTTACTCTGGTCCTTACTTGGAATGCGTCTGTCAGCTGTCCTCCATGCACTACTTTGCACTGTAGTCCATCGTATGAGTTCCGGATAATGTTGACAATCTTCTCAGGAACTCCGTAGTGTCGAAGAAGTTTCCATAACGTCCTCCTATCTACACTGTCAAATGCCTTCTCATAATCAATGAAGTTGATGTAGAGTGACGAGTTCCACTCAATTGATTGTTCGACGATGATCCGTAGTGTCGCAATCTGGTCTGTGCACGACCGGTCCTTACGGAATCCAGCTTGTTGATCTCGAAGTTGAGCGTCAACTGCGTCTTTCATCCTGTTCAGTAACACTCTGTTGAAGACTTTACCCGGTATTGACAGTAGTGTAATGCCTCTGTAGTTTTCACACTTGCTCAGATCTCCTTTCTTTGGAATCTTGATGAGGTGTCCTTCTTTCCAATCCATCGGCACTTGTTCCTCCTCCCAAATCTTCTTGAATAGAAGATGAAGCATGTTTGTAGTTACTTCGATGTCTGACTTCAACGCTTCAGCTGGTATATTATCAGGTCCTGCTGCTTTCACGATCTTGATTTGTTTGACGGCCATTTTGATTTCTTCTGTCGTTGGTGGATTGACGTTTATAGGAAGATCTGTGTGTGCTGCTTCGATGTCCGGTGGATTCATTGGAGCCGGCCTGTTCAGGAGTTCCTCGAAGTACTCTGCCCATCTGTTGCGCTGTTGTTGAATCTCAGTGATTGGTCTTCCTTCTTTGTCTTTGACTGGTCTCTCTGGTTTACTGTATTTCCCTGCTAGCTTCTTCGTTGTATCATAAAGCTGTTTCATATTTCCTTCTCTTACAGCTTTTTCCGCCGTCGTTGCAAGTTCTTCCACGTATTTCTGCTTGTCGGCTCTAATGCTCTTCTTTACTTCCTTGTTTGTTTCTGTATATTCAGCTTGTGCTTGGACTTTCTCTGCTCGTGTTCGACTATTGTTAATTGCTGTCTTCTTGTTCTTCCTTTCTTTGATCCTGTCCAGTGTTTCTATTGAGATCCATTCCTTGTGATGATGCTTCTTGGGGCCAATGAATTTCGTGACACGTTGAAGTTAATGTTTCTTTGATACCTTTCCAGCTATCCTCCATAGTAGTTTCTTCTTCCTTCAGTAGGTCCTGTAAGGCTTGGAACCTGTTGTTGAGAGCTATCTTGAATTCATTGAGTTTGTCAGTATCTCGAAGGAAGGCTGTATTGAACCTTTGTGGCGCTGTTTGTCCAGTTGTCCAGTTCTACTTTAGCTTCAGTTTCAATTTGGCCACAACCAAGTGGTGATCTGAAGCTATGTCCGCTCCTCTCCTGGTTTCCACATCTTCCATTGTCCTTCGGAACTTTTTATTGATGCAAATATGATCTATCTGGTTCTCTGTGGTGTGGTCCGGTGAGATCCATGTAACTTTATGTATACGTTTGCGTGGAAATATTGTACCGCCTATGACCAATTTATTGAATGCACACAGATTTGCAAATCTTTCCCCGTTTTCGTTTCTCTCTCCCAGTCGGAAGAAATTTAGGGGCGGACAAACCAAAACGTGGCATCAGTGCTTGAAACCATTAGCTTGTAGTTTGAACCAGGTCGGTAGATGAAGACTACTTGGTTGGGGTCCGTGCAACTATTGTAATCAATGGTTAGAGACTGAATAACATGGCTCAGAATCGATCACATTGGCATCGGTGTATACACTCTTTGTCTTCCCTTAAACTGCGAGATTAAAATCACTTTATACCTTTCTTTCTACGAACTAATTCTTTCTTCCTGTAATATATCCGTATACACAATATTTTTATATATTACTGTCATTGAAGTAACTAGTTGTATGAATTTCGTAACCATCTTGTTGTGCTAATGAGGTGTAGCAACTTGAATCGACGCACATATGCCCGGTCCCACGTTGTAAATGACTAACTATTTTCCTTGCCTTATAAAAGAACGCAACAATGTAATTTTGTATATACTAATACCAAACTCTAATATCACACTAGTGATTTGATTCCATTGCGTATGGTTGATAAATTCAGTGACGAATGAGCACTTTCTCGTTGATTTAATTTGTTTATTTCAACACATAAATACAAAGGGGCACCGCATAGATATGCGCCACACAAATCACTTGATTTGTCTGTGGGCTGTTATATTGCTCGGGTGAACAAACCTAAGCAGGTGGTGTTTTTAGGGGGCCACATCCGGAGCCTTCAACCTAAAGGTCTGATCCACAAGGCAGCGGAGCAACGTCAGTAGATGCAGTCCCATGGTAGCCGGTGACCAATAATTGGTCCACACGCCATTTGTTTCCGCAGGATCCTGGAGCTCATGAGCACCATTGGTTTGGAATCAGGGTTTTCCAACTTCCCTAGGTGAATCCTATGTATCCGCCAACCCAGTTAAGGCACCGGATATCCGCTTTCCGTCTTCTCAATTTCGTAAACAACACCCTGCCCCGAGAAGGCAGTGAGTAGGACTTCCCTGGCAGAGGTTGTATGCGCGTGATCATGTGAAAGCATTTCGAGAGGGAGAGCTAACTCTCTACACCCTCTGCCGTACAAGGGTACTTGGAGTAGTCATAAAAACGACCGATTAGTGAATGATAAATAATGTCAATCAACGTAAAAAATGAAAAATGTAGAACTGAAAAAATAAAAAACGTAGACGCTTCTTACCTGATCATCACATTCATTTTTTAAGGAAGATTTACCCTTCTGAATCTCTAGAGCAGCCAGACGTAGAAACATTTCGTAACGATGGCTATGTACAGCGAGAAATTGAAAACAAATAATAGTTAAAACCTGACGAAAGGAACATGGTAGTCAATGTATTTTTCATGGGAAAACCACTAAGGTATTTTTATTTATTTATTTTAACACATAGATATTGGTACAAGGAGGCACCAAATACATATGCGCCACATAAATTACTTGATTTGTGTGAGGGCTGTGGTACTGCTCGGGTGCCAAATCGAAGTCAGTCAGTCAGTCAGCTGCAACGTAGGACCAGGCACGTATATGCATCGGTCCAAGTTGCCATACCGCATTAGCACAACAAGATGAACACCGGATTCATAAAAGTAGTCAATTCAGTGGTGGTAATATATAGAAGAAAGATTGTGTATAAGGAGATAGTAAAGGAAGAAAGAATTAGTTCCTAGACAGATATGAAGCGATTTTAATCTCTTAATTTAAGGAAGACAGAGAGTGTATACACCGACGCCATTGTGATCGATTCTGAGCCATGTTACCAAGAGTCTCCAACCATTGGTTACGATAGTCACGCGGACCCCAACCAGGTAGTCTGCATCTACCAACATGGCTCAGACCAGAAGTTAGTGACTTCAAGCACTAATGCCACGTTTTGGTTTGGCCGCATACGCAACACGTGGCCCAACCATCTCAGTCAATGAAGGTTCATAACCTCATCAACTGATTTACCATCATTTCCTAATACCCTGCGTCTAACCTCACTATTACTTACCCGGTGATCCCAGCAGATACCCGCAATATTTCTAAGGCACCTGTGGTCAAATACTAGTAACTTACGAATATCTTCCACTCTTAAAGGCCATGTTTCGCAGCCGTATAGTAGAACGGAACGAACTGCCGCGCAGTATACTCGTCCCTTAATTGATAGACGGATATCTCGCCTACGCCATAGATGACGTAAGTTGGCAAAGGCCAAACGAGCTTTTCGAATCCGTGCTGAGATTTCGTCAGACACCAACCCATTAGGGCTGATCAGACTTCCAAGATAAGTGAAGTTGTCAACGCGTTCGACTACTTCACCCCCTATCCTTAGTTCAGGTGTTGATGCAGACCAGTCCTGAAGCAACAACTTGCATTTAGAGGGAGAAAAGCGCATCCCAAACATTCTAGCATTGTTGCTCAGTGCTACCAAAAGACTCTGCATTTCATCAGCGTCTTCACCAAACAGGACTATGTCATCTGCGTATTCTAAGTCAATAAGTGGACCTCCTGGTAGGAGATCAATATCCGAGAAGTCAGTCGATGAGAGCGTTATTTCCATCAGGATGTCTATGATAAAGTTAAACAAAAAAGGAGAAAGTGGACAGCCTTGACGGACGCCACTTGAGGTTGCGAAAGCAGATGACAGTTCGCCATAAGCTCTCACTCGACTAGTAGTGTTCGAGTAAAGAGCCTTCACAAGGTTTATGTACTTCTGAGGTACGCCTTTCAATGACAGACACTGCCACAGAACCTCTCGGTCAACAGAGTCAAACGCTGCTTTTAAGTCAAGGAATACCTCCATTGTCGGACGCCGATAAGTATGCCTGTGTTCTAGAACCTGACGAATGGTGAATATGTGGTCGATGCAGCTACGACCAGGTCTGAAGCCAGCCTGATTTTCACGTGTTTGCAGTTCACGAGTCTTAGTTAGGCGTCCGAAAATTATCGAAGCTAGTATTTTAGATACTATATTAGTCAAACTAATCCCTCTGTGGTTGTCACAGGATGTTTTTGACCCTTTCTTAAATATTGGGACGATAAGTGATTGTGACCAGTTAGATGGAATAACGTCTAACTCCCAGATTTTAGCTAAAATATTAGTCAACCTAATCGCTAAGACTAGACCACCATCCTTAAAGACCTCTGGGGCCAATCCATCTGGACCAGCTGCCCTTCCTCGTTTCAGATTAGCTATAGCCTTTTGAACTTCAGCTAGAGTTGGGGGACCTACTTCAATGTTCCATTCACACTGTCTGGGAATAGAGGGTAGTTGTAGAGTAGCTGAAGGCCAGCTAAACTGCTCCCTAAAGTGTTCCGCCATCGTTCTAAGCGTCTGGACTGGGAGCAGATGAGAGTGTCGTCTTTTTCCGAAATGGTCTGACTTACACTTGATTTATTAATTCCAGTTTCTTTTATTAGTCTGTAGAGTTGTCTTGTGTTTCCTATAGCCGCCGCCTTTTCCATCTCTTTTGCTTTCGTTGCCCACCACTGCTCACGATCATTCCTTAGACTTTTGCTTAATCTAGATTTGATTTCTTTACGCTCTTCATCGTATTCAAAACCTGATGGGATGAGTTTACGAGAATCTATCAGTGCAATAGACCTTGACGAAATCCATTGGTTTTTTGTAACCATTTGGTTTAAATCACTGGTAGATGTCACTGCTGTTTCCACAGCTGCTTGTATAACTTTCCAAGCAACATCTGGGTCAGCCTCGTTTTCAGAACTACCTAAGTGTGACCTCAGTTGTTCCTGGAACCTACTTTTGGCTTTCTCATTACTCAATTCGGTTCTCATGAGTCTTTTTTGTGTGGCTTTTTTGCGTCCAGTGAGGCGCAAGCAGATGCGTGCTCGTACTAGGGCATGATCAGAGTCCAAGCAGGTACTCCAGAATGAGCGACAATCTTCTATCGACCCTCTCCAACGATGACTGATGGCAATATGGTCTATTTGAGTCCATCGTTGGTTTGGTGCAGGGGGTCGCCATGTTAGACGATGTCTCTCTTTATGCTTAAAATTTGTGTTTGCTAAAAATAAACGATTGTCTGAGCACAGTTGCAACAGACGATCACCATTATCTGTTCGCTGTGCCGGAATACTAAAATACCCACCTAAATGTCTTTCTGTTTTGTTTAAGCTACCTACCTGGGCATTAAAGTCACCTCCTACGAGTACTATGTCTGAACGTTTAGCTTTCTGAAGAAGTTCAGACAGCTTTCTGTAAAATTCATCTTTCACTTCATCCGAACTGCAGTCAGTGGGAGCGTAGGCAGAAACGACGAAAAGGCAACGACGTGTGTCCCTATCCTTCCGAGTTCTTACGGAGCCGTTTAGCCGAACAGAGCATAGATGACTGTTAACGGGGATCCACTCTAATAGCGCTTGTTCCGCCCTCATGCTAAGTGCTATGCCTACACCTGCCAGTCCACGAGAACTAGCCATCGGGTCACCAGATACACGGAAGGTGTATCTCGTTGGCTCTCCGTTTTGCCGAGGTGAGGTCAAGTGAATGACCACACTAGGATCCTGTATGCGTGCTTCGGAGACACAGCATACATCAATGGTACGAGATTCTAAGGTTTTAACCAAGGAAGCCTGCTGACCGATTTGGCATAGTGTGCGTACGTTGAAGGCTCCAATATGTAGTTTGGAGCGAGGTTTCAGTAGACCTGGGACAGTGTTTTGAGCACTAGAATCGTTGGCTGTGGTGACAGTTGAGGAGGAAGCTAAAAGAGCAAGTTTAGTGTATAAAGTCGATGTAGGAGGAATAATAGGAATTGAAGAGGGAGGTTGACTATGAATACAATGGTCTTGAGTGCTGTTAGAGGTATGAGGGCGGTTATCACTTCCCGGTTGCCCACACCGTGGAAGGGTTCTTCTGGAGGTACCTGAAAAGGAAATTGGATTAGAGTTGGTCATAGTGACCTGGGAGCGTGACCGCAGTGCCCAAGGGACAGCTGCTTGAGGTCGGTCACACACGACCTTTTTATGAGTGATTTTTGTGTTAGCCCCGTACTTGTTGAGTCCTTACCGCCGGAGACGGATATCCGTGGGATAAGGCGAGGTGTGCATTTTTAGAGTCGACCTTTTCTAACTCCACCCCTTCTTGTGGGAAGGCAGCATCGCTGTCATGCTGGTTGTCTGAAGGAAACACCTTACTGCTGTCACACCTCTGTACAGTCAGCAGTACGACTTCGCCTTCAGACCTAGGTTTTGTTGTTTTTAGTCTTACCGCTCTTCAACCTACCTGTTTGGCATGATAGGACCTTGAGGAACGGTTGTTCCAGCCAGTATAGCTCAGTTGCTTCATCACGATAGGCAAGCCCGACCACCACGTCAAGGTAGCAACAACGGTCAGGCCCAAATCGAAGCAGGTGGTTTTCTTAGGGGACCACACCCCGAGCCTTCGACCTGAACGTCTGACCCACAAGGCAGTGGAGCATCGTGAGGAGATGCAGTCCCATGGTAGCCGGTGACCAACGATTGGTTCATACGCCATTTGTTCCCGCAGGATACTGGAGCCCATTTGCACCATTGTTTTGGGATTCCGTTAAAGCACCGGACATTCGCTTTTCGTCCCCTCATTTTCGTAAACAACACCCCCGCCACGAGAAGGCAGTGAGTAGGACTTCCCTGGCAGAGGCTATATACGCGTGGCCATGTGAGAGCACTTCGAGGTACATCCAACTAACGATTCCGAAATAAGACGAAACGCGTTCTGGATTCCACTGCTAGGCACCATCTATATTAACTTACAATACTTGTGTATTAAGGCAATATTGAGGCGATCGGCGTAGGATGCACATATGCCAATAAGAGATAGATGAATTGTAGTCCTAAAATTCAATGGGATTCAAATAATCTATACAAAAGTGAATTTACCAATAAGGTATGGTTAGTTCGTTAGCAGGATACTAACTAATCTGTAGTCACTTCATGCTATTCCGTGATTTAAAACCTGGATAGTTAATTTCCAATGTCAGGTAGACAAAAAATAATTTCAAAATAGCATAAGGGAGTAAGTGTAGAAAACGAACCACTTTTATTTTATTGTCTGGACTGAGATCGACTAAACATTATAATTGAGCTATCAACATTAAGGTGGGACGGTAGCTTGGTTTAACCACCTAGCTGTTACAAAGCAATAGATTCCAGCATTAATTATCATCAATAGTAGGTCAAGAGAAGAAAAAGAAAACCAGTATTCTACTCTTAACGAATAGATGTTAAGAAACATCATGGCGAGTACTTACTACATGACAGTAACACGATAATATTTACGCGTCAATCAGCTTAGTACTACAATTCATAATAAACAACAATTTTTAAAGGTGTTATCAGACATAAATAGATAAATATAGTCTTACTCAAAAAATGCCTCGATCAACTCTTGTCTTAAAGTCGCCAACATATGTCGGTGTTGATAAGGATAACCTAATTTCACCAATTCAGGAGACAATTGAGGTCGTATATCACTACCATTATCTAAATAGTTTAGATCTGGTGGGAAAGTACGTAATAAATCCAGAATATAAGTTCGATTATCATTTCCAACAATTCCTTTACAATCCACAGATGAATATAACTGTATTGCATCCCCTGACTGATTGACAACTCTGTAAATTTAATTAATGAATTTTAAAAAGCACTTAAAATAAACTAAACAAAACAAATAACATAATTATGTTAGTATTATTGTTATCATCCGTTATCAACATTACTTTAAACAGATCAAACAAGAAAAGACTACAGAGGACCATAAGTAATCGAATTTATTTGTAAGATTGACTAAGTGTGATTATGTAAACTAGACATAAAATAAAGTTTGGAAAATATTTCTTTATCGAAAAATAAATGCTGAAATGTGCATTCCATAGCTCCGAAACCGAAAAAATGAGAACCCTTCACGCTCCAACTATGATTATAAGTAATATACTGTTTTAGGTTTTTGTAAATAGGTGGTTAGTGAAGATCCCTTTGAAACTGGAATTATTTTCAACATGGAATGATATCAGAAACCTTAACACACTTAGTGATTAAAGTAATGAGACGTTGTGGATGCATAACATGAGGCTATCTAAATTTTATTTATAACGGTTCATTAGCTATTATCTATATGCAACTATCTGATTAGAGTTCGGCCGTAGTTTAGATGTATTTTTTCTAAAACACCTGTCGAAACGCTAGAAATCGAAACAATAAATGCAGCATTAAGACACGCTTGTAGACTTCATGCTAGTTCCTATTCCAAATATATATTCGTAGAACAAATCTGTGTACCAAGGTAGATCACATGAGTAGCAATTTTGGATCACAGCCCTCACACAAATCAATTGAGATTCGTGTGGCGCATATGTATTTGGTGCATCCTTGTACCAATACCTATGTGTTAAAATAAATAAATGAATAATCTTGAAATTTGGGTCGGTCGAGTCTACACTGATAGGCCAACTAAAAGCGACCGATATTACTCTAGTGAAAATGGAATTTATCGTGAACTCAATTTTAAGGCAACCGCCACACACAACGCTTCAACGACAATCGTCGAATCATAAAAACTAAGATGAAGGGGAGTACAAAAAAGGCTTGCTTTTCTATGAAAAATGACTGGAATAGGGGATCTCCGTAAAAACAGTAAAACATAACTTTGAAACAGAAAATTTGCAAATCAGAAGTGGTGACAATCAATCAGAATACGAATTAGAGGAAAATGCACTTGATGTTATCAATAAAGGACAGGAAATTAGCATTTATTAACAAAAACTGACTAATCTGTGATCACTTCAGCGGGCTGTTGTCAAGGATCATAGGAATTTATTTATTTATTTATTTGAACACATAAATATTGGTACAGGGGAGCACCAAATATATATGCGCCACACAAAACAATGATAATTTGAAGAGAAGGAGAAAAAAAAAGATAATGAACGTGGGGAATTATAAAAAAAAGAGAGAGAGGGAGAGAACAATGATGGGGAAAACGGAAAGGTACAATCAGAAGAAATCTTTCAGTTAAGGAAGATACAACCACTTTTTATGAAGAAAGTAAAAGGTTATAACAGGATCGCCATTGGCTTCTATTCTTAGCCATATCTGATAACGTCTCTAGCCACTGCGTTACACCGTCTCTCGGACCCCAGCCAGGGAGTCGTGAAGGACCAACACAAACCAGCCCTTTGCAGCTTTCTTTCATACCACGACACCATGTCATATACTGACCACCTCTCCGCTTTTTCCAACCAGTCCCAGAGTCGGCAAATAAAGCACGACGAGGAATTCTCTGGGACGACATTCGTAGAACATGTCCAAGCCACCGAAGTCGGTGTTTCAAGATGGTGACACCAATTGCATTATCGTCTCTGTGACCGAACACACGTTGCCGAACCTCTGCATCACTAACATGGTGTTGCCGCTGAATGTCAGCAATCCTTCGGAGACAACGATGATCAAACACAGAGAGTCGTCTAACATCCTCAACTCGGAGAGGCCAGGTTTCACAAGCATACAGCAAAACTGCTCTCACCGTCGCCTTGTAGATCCGACCTTTAACAGCCAGACTAACATCACGAAGGCGCCAAAGATGGCCCAGATTGGCATAAGCCGCTCTGGCTTTCACTATGCGTGCATTGATCTCATCACTCACACCACCACCAGCACTTATGCAGCTACCTAGATACACGAACTTCTCGACCACTTCTATCTGCTTACCGTCCAGAGTGAGTACAGGATTAGAATCCTGCCAGTCTTGTAGGAGTACTTTGCACTTCGAAGGTGCAAAGCACATACCATACCTACGGACATTGATTGCCAACTGATTAAGTGCGGATTGCATAGCTTGGGCATTCTCGCACAGTAAGACAATATCATTCGCATACTCAAGGTCGAGAAGTCTTTCTCCAAGCAACAGATCCACACCACCATTACTTACATCCATCAGAGCTGTTTCCAGAATGTCATCGATGGCAAAGTTGAAGAGGAATGGTGAGGTTGGGCAACCCTCTCTGACCCCACTGCTTGAATGGAATAGTGGAGAAAGGTGGTTGTGTGCCCTCACTCTGCCAGAGGTGTTTGTGTATAGGGCTTTTAATAAACTTCTCAGGTACACCCTTCTTCAATAGACAATCCCAGAGAACAGTTCTGTCCAACGAATCGAAGGCAGCCCTGATATCAAGAAACACTACGATTGTTGGCCTTTGATAAGTATGGCGGTGTTCTAACACTTGGCGGAGGGTGAAGATATGATCAATACATCCTCGTCCAGAACGAAACCCAGCCTGCTCCTCGCGAGTCAATCCTTCTCGGGTTTTGAACAATCTACGAAGTATGACGGAAGCCAATAGCTTGGACGCAATCGGAAGTAGACTTATCCCCCGATAGTTGTTACAGGAACAACGTGAACCCGGTGATTTGTAACGTTTCAAGAGTTGGAGTTCTTTGCGGACTTCAGCCTCATTTGGTGGATCAGTCGTCACCGGCCATGGAGGGCAGGACAGTCTGGCCGATGTTGCCGGAGCAGCAGGCCAGTTGAACTGCCCTTCGAAGAATTCTGCCCATCGTCCAAGACGTCGATGGATGTTAGTGATTGGCGTTCCGTCATCCTCGCAAATTGTTTCGCTCACACCAGACTTCTTGCTGCCAGTGGCTCGGATGAGTTGGAAGAGCTTCCGGTAATTACCAGATGCAGCTGCTGCTTCCAACTCATTAGCACGCTCCGACCACCAGGCTTCACGGTCCTTACGCAAGCTTTGGCCGATTTCATTACGTAACATCCTTCGTCTGTGGTCAAACTCACGGTCACCCGGAGTAGACCGACTGGCTTCAATCAGTTGTAAGGAACCAGAAGAAACCCAGTGCTTGTAAGCGGGACGTTTCGCAAACCCACAACAGACTGTACCCGCCATTTTCATGGCGTCATGCAATTGCAACCAATGCTCATCTATACTTTTCGGTGGAATGGTAGCTAGCCTAGAAGCTAGCTCGGTTCGGTACTTACTAGCAACAGAAGTTGCAGCCAGCTTGCTAACATCAATCCTTTGGTGGCGGTCACTTCGTTGTCCACTGAAAAGTAAGGTAAGATTGGCGCAGACCAGAGCATGGTCAGATTCCAGATAGGTACTCCAAAAGGAGCGGCAGTTTTGTACACAACCACGCCAGCGGTAGCTGATCGCGATGTGATCAATCTGTATCCAGGCTTGAGATGTAGAAGGGGGACGCCAGGTGGCACATCGGCGATGATTGTGCCGAAAGTTAGTGCTAGCCAGAAACAGGTTGTGGTCTGTGCATAGTTGCAGTAGACGTTCCCCGTTATCTGTCCTGCGACCAACGAGTCCCCATCGGCCACCTAAACGACTCTCTTCTGTGCCTAGACGCCCGACCTGAGCATTCAAGTCTCCAGCTAGTACTACAATATCTGTCGAGCGCACTTTCTGGAGAAGAACAGTTAACTGGTGGTAGAACTCATCCTTGATTGCATCCGGGCTGCAATCTGTCGAGGCATAGGCGCAGATGATGAAAAGACATCGTTTCTCACGCCTATTTCTTCTCACTTTGATGGAACTTTCTAATCTAACAGCACATAACCGACTGTTAATGGGGATCCAGTCGACTAGTGCTGCATCAGCTCTAGCGCTTAGTGCGACCCCAACGCCAGCAAGACCAGACGAATATGCCACAGGGTCCCCGGATAAACGCACATAAAACAAGCTTTTTGAAGCGACAGATGGAGAGCGAACTTGTAGTACTTCACCAGAGTCTTGAATACGGGTCTCGGATAGACAACACACATCAATATTAAGACTTTCCAAAGACATAGCCAGACCTATCTGTTGTCCGACCTGCATAAGTGTGCGAACGTTGAAGGTAGCCAGTTTGAATGGTGCACGCGGTTTCAGAAAAACTGCTTCAGTACTCATGTTCGGTAGTAACATACAATTTTCAACCAGGCAGTGACTCGGGAACGTTTAGATAAAGCTGAATTTTCACCATAGGTGAGCTGCTGTCTAGGTCGAAACGGATACATAAAGTAAGAATAAGAGAGGGTGAATCAATGACGTGGTAGAGTAATAATAATAATAATAGTAATAATAATAATAATAATAATAATAGTACGAGTTATTTCAATGTTAATCAGATAGAAAGGAATATTTTCCATAAGCAAATAGTTCATCATGGTTTTAGTGCGTGAGCTGAGATACTGTCCGGGTGCCCAAACCGAAGCAGAGGATCATAGGAATGCATGTCTTGAGTAAAAATCAATTGATATACACATTCTTTAGCTTGCAAGTAGTTTCAATTTTTAGTATTCTTTAAAACTTTACATTCGTCAGTCAACTTTGTTTCTTAACGGCAATCACTGTTTCAGTGTTAAGATCATTGCTCTATGATAAACTTTAGTTTTAAATATCCGCAAGCTAAACACAATTTTACTAATGCAGAATAAACATACTGTTGTTTTTTACGAGATGAAACTATACAGTTAGATGAACAAAGTACAAAACTTACTTGTGTGGTTTGATTTTCAACTGTTTAGCCGTTTTAGACAATAACTCTTCATAACGTTTATCGGTGAGCACTGTCTTACCAAAATCAATCGAACCATAAACAACTAACTGTTCTTGTTCTTTCTCCAAAATACCTACAGAAAAAACGGATGACCTTCATACACGACGCGATAATTGAAAGAGAGAATAATCATACAGTATTTATTCATTCATTTTAACACATAAGTATAGGTACAGGGAGGCACCAAATACATATGCGCCACACAAATCTCAATTGATTTGTGTGAGGGCTGTGATACTGCCCGGGTGCCCAAACCGAAGCAGGTGGTTTTCTTAGGGGGCCACACCCCGAGCCTTTGACCTAAACGTCTGACCCACAAGGCAGTGGAGCATCGTGAGGAGATGCAGTCTCATGGTAGCCGGTAACAAACGATTGGTTCATACGCCATTTGTTCCCACAGGCAGGATACTGGAGCCCATGTGCACCATTGGTTTGGGGTCCGGTTAAAGCGCCAGAAATTCGCTTTTCGTCCTCTCATTTTCGTAAACAACAGTTATGCCACGAGAAGGCAGTGAGTAGGACTTCCCTGGCAGAGGCTATATACGCATGGCCATGTGAGAGCATTTCGAGAGGGAGAGCGGACTCTCCCCACTCTCGGCCGTACCAGGGCATTTGGGGGCTCATACAGTTTTAGATACCAAGTACTATTTAATTTTACTTTGTGTTTGCAAGAACTCTGAAGATGAAGTTATCAAACACGTGCAAACAGATAACTTATGAGTTTGTATGATGTATATGTTTCAGTTGCAACGATAAGAAAGGTTAAGGATTTGTGAAAAATGTAAATTCTGGATTGCGAGGATATTGTTGGAGTATTTCAAATCGTTTTACCAATTTATTCTAAGTGGTGGCTGAAACCCATTTTCTCAGCCCAACAATCGAAGATTATGCAGAAAACTATTAGTCTAACCTGGTATGATTGTTTGAGCGGTAACGCGAAAACCACGGTAATCAATAATAGCTGTCCCAAGAGTATACAGTCCAGGTTGATCTAGCATCGAATATGCACGTACTCCACACAAATCACTAGACTAAAATGATAAAAAAAAGAGTAAGAAGGACTTATATATACTTTTGGAGGAAAAAAGAGATAATCGATATGTAAGACAACTATTGATGACCAATTTTATAAATTTGAATACAATTAGATACTGATTTTTGTAACTAAGTTACATTTTCTGGACCACTGACTTGTTATTTAGGATTAAGAGAAGTATCATGCTCTAAAGTTACAGCATATACCTAAACAAAGGTCCAGATACTTTTTGGTTCGTATAGAAATGAGATGCTATTGAAGTGAACGAGAACACAAGTGGGAACAACTGAATGTATTTGAATTAGATAATCACAGAATATCTTAGTAAAATCTGAGGACCATACAGTAAATACTTCATTTGCAAAATATCAGTCAGTCGTATCAGACTTTGTTGTTCCTTCGTTTCCACACCAATCATTCTCTGTTCTCGGTCTCTTTCCTTCGATCTTCTTAACCACCCGGCATTTCACTTTCGATTGATGATACATACTACTTATATCTGTTGACATCAGTAGCACACACCGCAGTTTAAATTGGGACCAAATTCTCAACAAATTACATGAACTTTCAAGTTACAGTTACCTCTAAACTGGATCAAAGTATTTCCATGTTTAAAACTCGCATTATATTGATGTCCTGTCAAAACATAATTAAATTCTAGGTTCTGATCAAGCGGGTGTGTATATCGGCGAATTTCGCAAAGTAAGGTCAATCATAATCGATGAACAGCTTCAAACGAATTTGCATTGATTTAAGTCACTATACTATATTAACATGAGATAGCATTGGCAGTATGAATAGCAAAGGAATCGGAAAAACTAGTAGCAATCAAAGTGAGGAAGACAATGAGAATATGATTTGATAAGTAGATTAGAAAGAACAGTTAGAATTAATCGTTGGTGAAACTTTCATTTATTTTATTGTGTTTACTGTATAGCTCAATCAAACTGCAAAGCAGTTAAGAATGTAACAGTACTTTCTCATTAGATGATTACCGAGTAAAATTTCACTTCAGTATAATCATAGGAATGCATAAGACGAAGAGAAGTCAAATGTAATAAAATCACATTCAGTGTCAAATAAAGGAATCCAATACCAAGATGAACTTACTGTGGCAGCATATGCGGCATATTCACCGCCAAAATGCTTGTAATGATCTTTAACATCAAATCCAAGTGAGAAAAACATATTGTTCCAGATAAACATTTGCTGTTTACGTGTTTCTCCTGGGTTAATAGCCATAATATCTCCATTCACTACGCTAACAGCAGCACGAGTTGCCGCAGCAACAAAATCACTGTTTGACTTGAAAATAGCACGATCTCTAAGTAATCGCTCTGTAAGACGTGTCTGTGGAAGTTCACGCGTAACTTGTAGCTCTTCGTTCCAGTCCCTAGTTTGGCCAGGCAAATTTTCTTCGCACGCCATGCGAGAAGAAAACGCTATTTATCCAGTAAATTTTAAAACAAATGTATAAAAATATTTCTAAAGAAAATTAAGGATGCAGGGATATTCGATTATTATAAAACCGAGAGAGCTGCTTACTGTTGAACATTGTGAAAGGACGAAGGTACGTCAAATATAGTCTCTTGTGGTGCTAAATTACTAATGCTTCACTTTTGTGAGCAACTTTGAACTGTTTCCATTGTTTGTAGTTCCAGTTTCACTAAATATCCTTCGCTTTCACATGTGAAAGGCTGAAAAATTACCCAAACCAGGAATAGTAAGAAGTGAGTAGTTAGGACACATCTTAACTTCCACTTATAAAACAAGGTTGTTTCAAAGGAGATAGAACTGTGTTGACAAGAAAAGTTGCCATTAATATATGATCAAGTAACGTAACTGGAGTTTGCTCTTTGACTCAGACTAATGCAAAAAGAAATACCATCATAGCTGTCAAATATATATGATCCATAAGAGGAAGATGAACCTTCTTAACTGAAGAAAATATACCTTGGTAATTTGAGTAGTTTTTTTGCTAAACACTATTTTCGTTTATTCACTTACTGAATACACTACTTCCTCCTCTATTTCTTCAAAATATTATTTGAACTTCGTGTAGCCAATCCTCTTATGGTTTATTTGTAGCGAAATTACTGTTATAAATAAATAAATCTAGTGTACTGAAATAGTAATATGGTTCATCGTGTTTTACGTAGTCACAAAACTGGATCATTTGCATTGGTTTATGGTAGGTATACTAGAACATTTCTTGGTGAAAAGATGACCTGATTAACAAGTGTATTAATGGTATATTCTATTATTAAAACGCCTTTTCATATTCAAGTCAGATAGGGTAGAGAGATAAAAAAAACTAAACTTTGAAAATGAGAATTTAGACAAATTCACTTGAACATACCTTCTTCTTTTCTTACAGAATCTGGGGAATGTTCAACCAGTGGCGCTAACCAGGAATGAACTTGATACGGAGTCGGAACACGTTCAAATGGATGTTTAGCAGCTCGAGTTTTTAAAAGGGACTCAAAATTGCGCTTGAATCCTGGGCTAAGTTGACGCAGGAGATCGATCAGAGAATGTGCCACATAAGCATGTTGTATGGGGTGGGGATTGAACTGATCATCCGTGGACCTAAAATAGAAGAAAATAAATTACATTTCACACGAAGTATTTAGCCAAGTAAAATAGTTGCAAAATTAACATCATTCAAAAAGTCAAGAAATGGACAACAAAAAACATTGTTGGATTTTAGCCATTAAATTTACTCAAATCCGTCAAAACCTACTCGATTACTGAGATCTTCGTACATCAAACGTTTTGTTCACAAACGTAAAATTACATTTTGTTTAAGCATGTTTTAAGCACGGATTAAATCCTTAATGGTTTAGAACACACTCCACACTTAATTAGACCAAAACTAACCGTCAAATAAAATGGCACTGCTGTCAGTCATTTACAACGTGGGACCGGGCACATATGAGTCGATCCAAGTTGCTACATCTCATTAGCACAACAAGATGGTTACGAAATTCATACAACTAGTTACTTCAATGACAGTAATATATAAAAATATTGTGTATACGGATATATTACAGGAAGAAAGAATTAGTTCGTAGAAAGAAAGGTATAAAGTGATTTTAATCTCGCAGTTTAAGGGAAGACAAAGAGTGTATACACCGATGCCAATGTGATCGATTCTGAGCCATGTTATTCAGTCTCTAACCATTGATTACAATAGTTGCACGGACCCCAACCAAGTAGTCTTCATCTACCGACCTGGTTCAAACTACAAGCTAATGGTTTCAAGCACTGATGCCACGTTTTGGTTTGGCCGCCCCTAAATGTCTTCCATCTGTCTCCAACACCTGTCAGCATCGCGTACTGCACTGACTATGTAACAAAATGTATTGCCTAGTTGTCGTCAACATTAGACACAAAAACATACAGGTACCAGAATAAATATGCATCGATTAGTTACCACTTTCCAACATCAGGATAAACATACGAAATAGGCAAAAAGCCGATAATGCATTAACAACAATCTTTAGGACTGAAAATGACAAAAACCAAACTGATCAAGTGGAATATTATGCACGGAATAAATTAAAGTCAGGATTTTGATAAAGAATGAACATGTCACTGGGTTTAACTCTGAATCATGTGGCCTTGTAGTATCGGTTATGTTAAGCCTATATAACTTGTTATGGCTTTAGACAGGCCAATCTACTCATTCTGCTTGAGTTATATTTTGACCTTGTTAATTATTCACTTGTCAATCTTGACTGTTTTATATGAGCGCATATGTGTGTACACTTCTTATCTCATTCATCACATATCCCCCAAATGCCCTGGTACGGCCGAGAGTGGGGAGAGTCCGCTCTCCCTCTCGAAATGCTCTCACATGGCCATGCGTATATAGCCTCTGCCAGGGAAGTCCTACTCACTGCCTTCTCGTGGCATAACTGTTGTTTACGAAAATGAGAGGACGAAAAGCGAATTTCTGGCGCTTTAACCGGACCCCAAACCAATGGTGCACATGGGCTCCAGTATCCTGCCTGTGGGAACAAATGGCGTATGAACCAATCGTTTGTTACCGGCTACCATGGGACTGCATCTCCTCACGATGCTCCACTGCCTTGTGGGTCAGACGTTTAGGTCAAAGGCTCGGGGTGTGGCCCCCTAAGAAAACCACCTGCTTCGGTTTGGGCACCCGGGCAGTATCACAGCCCTCACACAAATCAATTGAGATTTGTGTGGCGCATATGTATTTGGTGCCTCCCTGTACCTATACTTATGTGTTAAAATAAATAAATAAATAATTATCTTCAATTTATTTTTGTGTGACTATAAATATTGACTAGTGTTTGACTAAAAGAGAGTTGGCTTACCCACCATCTCCACTGCGCGTCGTTTTTCTTCGCTCTGTTCCATTCGTTTCATATACAAAGTCTATTCTCGTTATTTGACTTGTTTAATTTCGTTATTGACTAACGCGATTTAAGTCGATAATGACATACGAGGACAAGCGACATATACATATCGACAGCAATCCTTCATATGATCTGATTGGAGTCAGATCCCGGGCCGCTAAAGTGGAGAGCCCACCGACAACATCGATCTAAATGATGACAAAATAAAGGGCCCCACTAAAGCCTAATGAATGCAACTAGAGATTAGGACTCTTACCACATCCGTACCTTATAGTACGACCCATAATAGTCAATGACATCACAGATTGATAGATCATGTTTGACCAAATCTAATATTTTTAGATTATTTATAAACTATTTAACATATTTATAGAGGCTGATCACGTGTAGATAGTATTACAACAAATTACGTATATGATTTCGAACCTGATCAATCGACTTCTCGTCCCTCGTCTGACGTTTCTATGACTAATGCATTAACGTAATTAACGTGTACTTCTCATCTTTAAAATCCATGATTTATACCAATACAGCACAGAGATGAAACTTGCCAGTATTTGGAGAGAAAAGCGACTTGCCAGTAAGAATCCTAGCTATATTTCCGACTCCGATGTACAATATTTTCGGTCATCACTAACATCTTAAGCTACAACAAATTGTGCGTTTTAACTGATAAAGTAAACCTTGAGTTTAAGAGCGAGAATAACACGAACTTACTAGTCCAGGATGTAAACCTTTTATGCAACCACTCTTCAGTCAGCTAATACACACCATGCAGCAGTCCAATAGTATACCTTATATGACGACTCATACAATAATATATATTGGTTTACTTATCGCCCTTCGACACGAATATGAAGTTACAATATATATGTAATTTTGCCAAAAGTGGAAAACAGGAAAAAGATAATTAGCTTCAATTAAAGAGTAACAAGACGTACAGTAATAGCTGAAGAGATCACTTAAAGCTTACAACAGAAGGAATATAAAAACATAGTGACCCATTTATTCACTAATCATCGTAAACCCTGATCACCAAGTTTGTGTGAAAGACCATGTGTGAGGCAAGTTAGTAAGAATTCCTTCAGGACAACAACTTCAGTCAATATAACTATATCTGGACAACCATTTTGAAGGACCTCTCAAGTTTAGGAATCAGGGTTTGCTTTACATATTAGCTTAGTTTTAATACCGACTTTGTTAAGAACAGTTGGGATGTTCAATAATACAAATTATTAGTGAAGGCACCAAGTAAAGACACAAAACATATACACACTGAATATGAAGATGTGCAAAAATTAACGATATTTTAGCTTACATATTTACATAAAATCCTCTGGGACAGGCAGTTATATGGTACTTTTTGTCCTCTAACGTGTGAAAAAATAAATAAATTAGATCTCCTAGTAGTCGTCTTGCAGGTGGCGGAGGGTTCCAATTACTATAATTAAGTTGACGAACGCACTTAACTGGCTTTCCATCACGATCCAAAGGATGTAAAGGCGATAATGGGAGGTTGGTGTTGGCACCGAAACCAGGCATAACATATTCAGGTGGTATGAAATCTATACGCATATCTAACCGAGTAGGGAAATGTTTGCGTTCTGAAGAGAAAATAAACAAATGAGTTAATCCTAAGACTTTCATGATAAATGCATCTCCACTTTAGACTTATCATTCAAAGTTCACAAAACGCTTTTCACCCCATTTTACATCTGCATAGTCTAAATTGCCAAGACAGTATGATGATCTCATAAATACAGTGCGAATAATGTGAATATAAGGATGAGTTACTGATCCAAGTAGCTGGTAATTATGTACTGTTTTGTGTAGCAACTTCTAACACCAAATACAGTGATACTAATCGAAACCTACCACTTGGCAGCTTCAAACCTGCATAAGTTAACATTACCTCAAAGGCGTATAAACACTAACACGAGTTAATACAAGTGACTTAACCTCTACAAAGTTTGTAGCGCTTGATATGGCATATTTATTATTTCGCGACTAAGTCTAAAGTACGAAAACTGGAAGTTGCTGAGAGATGTCGCATTTTCACGTAAACTTGGTAAAGTACCGAGCATTTCAACCGCCGTGTGTACTTTTTATAAAATCTATACAGCATAGAAGTAATATGTAGACTGATCACCAAGACAAACATCTGATAAAGGAAACATATCGATTTTGAGATGGTGGAGAAGATTTGTAGCTCAGGTGGATGATTTTGATGGAGTTTTGTTCTCTGAGCTGGATGGTTTGGTCGTGGAGCTTTCATCGTTCTTCTGAACATCATCAGCACAAACTTCAGATAGAAGTGAACACTTCACAAAACTCCATCAAAAACATATCGATTCTCAGTGCAGAAATCGCATTAGGTAGTCAGTCGTTGAAATAGACAAAAGGCCTACACTCGTTGGTTTTCACCATATCTTGACTTATTAGTCAACTTTAAGAACCAGTGAATCTTCATGAGCAGTTAATAGACTGTATTAATCAGCTTCTAGAGAGTCATTTAGTAGACTCGGCAAGTCAAGACAAAACGAGCCAGCATTGTTACAGAGAATTTATTTATTATTATTGTAATAAATAAATTCTCTATAACAATGCTAGAGAATATCACAATCAATAATAAAATTTGATCAAATTTACCTAGCTCTCCTGCTACTGAATTGACAAATGATAGGGACATCTGTTCTCTACCTGCGTATGCATCGTAAGGCTCTATTGAATGAAGGAGATCATGGATATGTCGAACATGATTTTTGGCTTCCCGAACACTATAGCGCTCTTAAATAGAAGCTTAGTAAACACAATCGTGGACTACCTTCCACAACTTTCAGTTCGACGCCATCAGCTAAACCATCGACTGACTTTAACTCTGCAAACATATCTAGCGTCTGACCGTTTAGAACCAAAGAAAAGCAAGTGCAACTGCAGGTTTCTTCACGATCCATTAACACACGATGTATTTCTTGAACAAGCTCAAAAGAGCTCACCTTAACAATAGTTAAAATTTTATTAGTACTTATTACTTGTAACTCGAAAGGATCTGAATGGGTTGGAATTATCTTAACTGTGTAAGGCGTTTCATCTTGAACATCTTCCGACTTGCTCAAAGAATCTCCTTTTGACAAGTCACCATTGGTGACTGCAGTCACCTTATTATCGCTGATTTCATTTAACTCAATATCGACCATTTTTAGGGGTTTTAAGTTTGTGTAGGGCTGTAACTCGAACACTACCACGCAGGTGTAGCGTTCGCAACGGAAAACACAACCCGACGATCGACGTCCAACATAAACTTCAATATTCTTAAATGAGGATAGTAAACCATTCTCTCTCAGATTATACTCATAGGACCATGAGCATCCATATTCAAATCAAATAGTTTCTCAAACACTCTCCCATGGTTCGACGTTTAGTCATCGATCCATTGACATGTAGGGTATGAAGTGATGTGAAGCGCCACAATCAAAGATAATGTTTATTCATCACTTTTTCCATGTTTATCATCTAGGTAACATAAGTAAAAAGTCTTGACACCTGTATAGCTCAGTTCTATCCTGCAGTACATCTGTATGCAGTATCCGTAGGAATAGTCTCACACCCGTGGATTTCGGGAATCCGTGTGGCGAATCCACATACAGATGCTTCCAGATTGGGGGGTTTGGTAGGACGCATTACCCTACGATACCTGAAGTTTAATTTACGATGAATAAGATATACATACTAATAACATACAATTACACGCATCGAAATCCTCCCTGCTTTCTCAGAAACTTGGGTATGAAACATTTAGTGATATACACTGAACTCAGGGGGAAGAGGTCTCTTATTCCCCCAAGAGTAGTCACCGAGCATCCAATTATTTAACTGGGAGTCAGTGGTACTAAGCCTGATTAATCAATCAACTTGTGGGGCCCATTAGTTTTATTTTGTCATCATTTAGATCGATGTTGTCGGTGGGCTCTCCACTTTAGCGGCCCGGGATCTGACTCCAATCAGATCATATGAAGGATTGCTGTCGATATGTATATGTCGCTTGTCCTCGTATGTCATTATCGACTTAAATCGCGTTAGTCAATAACGAAATTAAACAAGTCAAATAACGAGAATAGACTTTGTATATGAAACGAATGGAACAGAGCGAAGAAAAACGACGCGCAGTGGAGATGGTGGGTAAGCCAACTCTCTTTTAGTCAAACACTAGTCAATATTTATAGTCACACAAAAATAAATTGAAGATATGTGATGAATGAGATAAGAAGTGTACACACATATGCGCTCATATAAAACAGTCAAGATTGACAAGTGAATAATTAACAAGGTCAAAATATAACTCAAGCAGAATGAGTAGATTGGCCTGTCTAAAAGCCATAATAAGGTATATAGGCCTAACGTGATAACAGTCACTACAAACTGAATGGAGTCAACAGCAACGCTAGCCTGGTTATGCCACTTTTTCTGCACCTTCTTTACTTTCATGCATGATTTTTCCGTTTGGATTTTTCTGTTCTATTCATAAACTGGTGAATCTAGAAAGCGTGGATCCCAGAATAGCATATGATAGACTGGATTTAGCTATATAAGTATGCTCTTTATGTGATTAATGGTTTCATTATGATGTCAAACGTTTTCATACGCGTTACTCAATACTATAGATGAGATTTCACTAAGGTCATAAGTGTCTTCATCAAAGCATCCGAATTATCTACAATATGATCAAAGCTCTCTAAACGCACTAGATTCGAGCATTCTATTGCTTTCGAAAAATCCCTGGCCCAATAATTACTGCGTTGTTGTAAAGATAGATAAACAACTACTAGAAATCTCTAGTGTCCTTTTCGGGAAGTTTGGAAGGCTACGTAGAATTTTCGCCAGGGACTGTTAACAATGTGATGCACTATACAGCACTTGAGACACTCGATAAAAGGCCGAGATTCAAGAACTACTACTGGCTGAAAACCACTAGCGCTTCCTCTCATTACACTCTGATGAAATTTTTCCTTTAGAGTTCCGCTAACCGCACTGCATTTCTCAACTTGCTCTAATTTATGACATTTATGGCCCAAAAATATGGCGTTGTACGAATATGAGATTCTTGAACGATTCTCAATCATTCAACCCTGTCGAACTTTCCTGACTTCAAAGGGAATATAAAAATTTCCATTAGTCGTTATCATCAATAACTTCAAAGTTCCAGTTACACGTACTGAGACATTTAAAAAAAACTTGCTATTTGTCTCTTCCGTATGAAACATCATTGACCATTATTGATCTTTTCTTAGTGTCACATGTTTAAAGTCTATTTTTCTCAGTTATCTCATGTTCAGCTTTGAGGATTTTGGTTAGAATCCAATGTCACTACAAAAGTATGAATCGATTATAGGCTTAACTGTGATTAGACATAACCTACAACCAGAAAATGACACTTCATAAAACATTAGATTGGTTTACGTAAACCCGCGTTAGGATAAACATAAGTCTTAACATATGCGGTAATCGGTTTTTCATTTACTACCTGTGAATTGTAGATCTGTTCTTGTAGAGGACCACTAGGATTCTCAGAAAGAACACTAACGTCTGCTCCCGTGTTGATAAGATTGTGATTTTTCGTCATCACGTCAATGATTTATAACAGCTGGCCATGTCTACCGGCTACAGTTGCCATCGTTGCGTTCCAGCGGGGAAATCTTTCAAAAGGTTTGTCGTGACAGATGCTTCAGATTTGGGAAACTTGCACAATTTGCTGAAATCTCGAGAAGAATTACTACACATTTTGTGGTACCAACATCAAGCAGGATTATCTGTTTCCCATGGTTTAGAGATGGAACTTTTTCGGGACAGGTCTTTTTTTGGAAACTTGAAGCGTCTGTGACTGTGACGAAATTAGGATAACGAGTGACAGTATGACATATCTGCAACGTACATAATGTTACAACAATGAACAAATAGCTTATGGTTCAATTTATCAGGTCAAACTCTGCCTGTAACTTTCCTAGAGTTATTGCCAGTCTCAAGCCCATACGATCCAGAAGGGTTGGACATGGAGTTGGCAACCTCATTCCGTAGAAAAATATCATGCTAAAAACGCCAACCAGATCACACAAATTAGACTGTTTAAACTTTGCCTCGGGATTTGAAAGAGGAATTATGATGTCTCAGCATGAAAGCCGAGATTCTTTGGAAGTCGCGAGGTCCACCCATCGGACCCAAGCTAGACAGCAAGGGTTAGGTATGGGAAGGATGCAGCTGTATTCCGGTCACGAGGCTAAGATGCTTCACAGGCTCAGGGAGTTGCTCTGATGCTGTACAAAGACGCACGGAGTTCACCTATTGAGTTAGAATCTCATGAATCCAGGATCATCAAATAACACTTCAAATCAAAGAAGGGCGGTACCACAATGAATGTTAATCGGTATTATGCACCCATCAATGATAGTAAAGTCGACAGTAATGATCAGTCTTATGAAAAACTGCAATCGCTCAAAGAAAAGTGTCTAGGAAAAGACCTGATTATCTTGATGGCAGATCTTGTCGTTAAAGTCGGAATGGACAACCCCGGATATGAGGACATTATAGGAAGACATGCACAAGGAGAGAGAAATGAAAGTGAAGGGGAACATTAGTGACAACAAGCAGAAATACATAGAAGAACCAGAAACGACAGCGGAAATAGCTGCAGGAGGAAATGTGGGACAGCTATATGACACTACAAAGAAACTAGCAGGGAAACCAGAGATGCCGGTCAAAGACAAAGAAGGAAAGACAATCGAGGAGATTCAAAAGAGAGCTGGTGTGCAGAATACTTTGAGGAACTCTTAAATAGACCGGCTCCAATGAATCCACCGGACATTGAAGCAGCACACACAGACCATCCTATAGATGTCAATCCATCAACGACTGAAGAAATCGGGATGGCCATCAGACAAATCAAGATCGTGAAAGCAACAGGACCCAACAATATATCAGCTGAAGCACTGAATTCAGACATAGAAGTAACCACGAACATGCTTCATCTTCTATTCAAGAAGATTTGGGGGGCAGGAACAACTGCCGAAGAACTGGAAAGAAGGACAGCTCATGAACGTTCAAAAGTGCAAGTGTAAAAACCACAAAAGCATCACACTAATGTCAGTACCTAGAAAAGTCTTTAACATAGTGTTACTGAAATGGATTAAAGACGCAAGACGCCCAACTTCGAGATCAACAAGCTGGATTCCGTAAGGATCGGTCGTGTACGGAGGTTTGAATTATTTATGTAAAACTACTTTAGGTATGCACATATCATCTAAAATATTATGACTAACATCATGATCGGATCATCATTAAACAATCAGTTGAGTGGAACTCGGCATTATACATCAACTTCGTTGATTATGAAAAGGTATTTGACAGTGTATATAGGAGAACGTTATGGAAACTTCTTCAACACCATGGAGTTCCTGAGAAAATTGTCAACATTATCCGGAACTCATACGATGGACTACAGTGCAACGTAGTGCATGGAGGACAGCTGACAGATGCATTCCAAGTAGGGACAAGAGTCAGACAAGGCTGTCTACTCTCTCCCTTGCTCTCTCTTCTGGTAGTCGACTGGGTTATGAAGACCTCGACATCTGAGGGAAAACACGGAATACGATGAACAGCTCATATCCAATTAGACGATTTGGACTTCACAGTGGACCTAGTCTACCTATCGCATACACACGAACAAATGCAGATAAATACAGACAGTGTAGCGGCAGTCTCTGCATCAGTAGGCCTCAACACACACAAGTGGAAAACTAAGGTCCTCAAATACAACACAGAGAACATCAACCTAATCACCCTTGATGGGGAATCTCTGGAAGGTGTGGAATCCTTCACATACGTGGGAAGCATGATCAATGAACAAGGAGGTTCAGATATAGATGTAAAGGCGAGGATTGGCAAAGCAAGGACGACACTTCTACAGTTGAAGAACATATGGGATTCAGAACAACTGTGTCTCAACCAATATCAAAGTCATAATGTTCAATACCAACGAAGATGAAACTTGGAGAACTACTGCAACCATGATCAAGAAGGTGAAAGTATTTATAAATGGTTGTCTACACAAGATACTCAACATCAATTATTACATGTATTTCCCGACCAGATGCTGCCGCCATTTTGATTTCTCTTTCAGTTTATCAATATCCGGAGGATTTTTATTATTCTTAGTAACCTCCAGCGTGCGAAAACATTCAAATTGGTATCGAACCAACATCACGTTAATTCTGGTGGGAGAGTAGTGTAGT